GCCGTGTAGGTCACCGGTGCCCTACGCGGCACAACGAAGTAATTATGTTGATTTTTCTCTTCAATTTGCTTATTAAGGCGCCGGAATATCTAGTTGACTCTGGGAAAGGCGAATCCGAAATTATTGATAAAAATATAAAAAAAGATGTGTGGTGTCGTGGGACACTGGATAGGAACGAAGTCCCTTATTATAAAAATATTAATGTTAAGTTCTATTCGAGGTATAAAGAAAATAAAACTGGAGGTTTCGCAACAACTTACGGTTATTCGGTAACGTGCGAACTTATCGTGGTACACTTTATTCACGGTTGTTTGCATAAGAGTTAGTGTATTGCGCAAACGAACGCTCTGAGATCGTGGTCAATGAATGATAAAAAATATGTTATTTTTTGTACGTTATTACAAAGTTAATTCGTACACTGTGTGCATTACTAATAAAAGTCTTACGTTACGGACGTTTTTTCCCGGTTAGGGTATCCCTTCGCATCGTCCCATAAGGAACTTCGTTCCAATACTAAAAAATACATTATCAAACAAAAGAAGGCTGTTAGACAATCGAGGCGCTTAGTAACAGAAATCGACATAATTACTTCAGTGCATCGCGTAGGGCATTAGTGACCTACATGATAGGTAAAGGGTTAGTTACACTTACGTAGCGATTTGTTCGTAAAGTTCTACTTTTTGTACAAACGGGCTAAAGTTGATTCGTGTCTGCATTTCCATCATACATAAACTTGTCGCTTATGTATCGGTAATAGGCAAATCGGGATTACCACTTAAAATTTTAAATTTGTAAAGATGTAACCATGGAAATCTGACCATAGGAACTTGAAATCACAAAAGCATAGATAGCTCCCTCCTGACTACGAGTAAGTCTTGGCATTTACTGTCCGATATATGAAAAAAGGCAAACAAAATAGTTAATTAACATTTTCTCGTCTTTTTGTCAATCGATTTTTCTTTGTTTTTTTTTTGTTTTGTAGCAAACGAATTTGAGAGTTGAGAATAAAATGAATCTGGAAATAGTCTGTTAGTCTGTTAGTCATAGTCTTAACATGCCAATAACAAAATTTAAAAATTATTATCCAAAATGAATCTCAATCTTGAGGTGTCAGTGATAAAGGTCGAATTTCGGAAGCGAGCATTGTTTTTTTTTGACGAACGCACATTCAAGCGAATGTAGCATCTACTCCTAGAGACAGACAGAGAGACAGAACTGATCTTTCATCAGGTCATGTTCCTTAATCTATACTAATATATTATAAATCTACAGTGGTTTTTACGGATGCTCCGTTATAACTACTGAACCATGCATCCGATTGACTTGAAACTTGGTATCCATGTAGAAAATACATGTACTTAATGAATAGGCTAATATTCATATGAGTGTTGGACTTCCTAATAATAATGACAATAAGCAATAATGTTAATTTTAAATGCCCAGCGAAGCGGGCGAGAACGGCTAGTTATGTTTATAAACAGACTAGTCTATCTGATAGTAGATGGTCACCATCGCTCATGGTTTGTCAATATTGACAGGGGCACAGTCAAGCTGCTGCCTACAACCCTCCCCTCCTCTGTTGAGGTCGTGCTCCTTGGGCGTTAAAAGTAATTAATGAATACGACCGTTTTATAGGCCGATAACTTTTTTAAAGATGACTGTTAAAAACCAGGCAGTGCTTACGTATGACGGTCTCGATTTTATTATCTTTATTCGGGCTTCGTGTGTTTAAAGTGTATGTATCTTTAAATATGTATATGTTATGGTAAATGTACACTCTTGGGAAATATGCACATTTACCGGAAAATGTGTACATTTGCCGCAATAATCTACTTTTACCGTAACATTTAAAATTATAGAGACTCATTTTGAAATATTTGGATTTCGTCTTTAATTCAAAAATTGACCTAGAACGACCCTTTTCAGCGACTTTTAGTAATCAAATGACCATAAGTAGCTTATAAAAGGACAAAGCTATCTATCGGTCTCTTTCACTCCGTCCCCTTCCTCTACGTTTTTTCGGTTTGAGAACTTTAATCAATGTTTTCCAAAAAACACATTTTTTGAGTTGGGTCTTTATAATTCTAAAGGTGCGATATATACACCAACCACATTACTAATGCAATTGTTGCACGAACAGAAACTACATTTTACTTAATTTATTTCTGTTATATGAGTACTTTAATGACGTTATTATTATTTTATCTCCCGGACATTTCATTTGATGTGATATTGTGTGTCATTTTACCCAGGGCCATTCTAATATGTATAGTTATGTTAATCTGTAAAATGATTATTGTGGTTTCCTGGTGGTATCTGGTGGTAGAACCTCTTGTTAGTCCGCGCGGGCAGGCACCACCACCCCGCCCATTTCTGCCATGAAGCAGCAATGCGTTTCGGTTTGAAGGATGGGGTAGCCGTTGTAACTATACTGAGATCTTAGAACTTATATCTCAAGGTGAGTGGCGGCATTTACGTTGTAGAAGTCTATGGGCTCCGGTAACCGCTTAACAACAAGTGAGTCCTGAGCTTTTCCACACACCTAACCTACACCACCTAATAAAATACGGCTTTGTATTTGTCACTCTCTGATCAGCTGTGGGTGAACCTAAATTACGTCCCAAATATATAATGACCGAGTGGCGGCATTTACATTGTAGATGTCTATGGGCTCCGGTAACCACTTAACAACAAGTGAGTCGTGAGCTTTTCCACACACCTAACCTACACCACCTAATAAAATACGGCTTTGTTGCTGTCACTCTCTAATCAGCTGTGGGTGAACCTAAATTACGTCCCAAATATATAATGACCGAGTGGCGGCATTTACATTGTAGATGTCTATGGGCTCCGGTAACCACTTAACAGCAAGTCAGCCGTGAGCTCGTCCACACACCTAATCTACACCACCTAATAAAATGTACGGCTTTGTATATGTCACTCTCTGATCAGCTGTGAGTGAACCTAAATTACGTCTCAAAGAATATAACGACTGAGCGATTCGTGGCTCTGATGCGGCCCACGTAAATAACACAATCCAGAGGCTGTCCACAAATCACTCACAGTTTATACCTAAGTAACTCCTGCCTATATTCATTATGGCGTCGTTAACTCGACGTAACGCGAGCATCTACGAAAGCCTTCTTAATTGACTTCGCAAATTGAATGCTTAATCTTTGCAGTTAAAATAAAAGCAGCTTGAGACTGTAAGGCGAATTCAACAATGATTTGTAAACTTGTAATATACTCTTTGATTTCGTTATAGAATATTTTGATGGTTTCGTCAGTAAGCTTTTTTTTTATTGCCTAGATGTGTGGACGAGCTCGCAGCCCACCTGGTGCAAGTGGTTACTGGAACCCATAGACATCTACAACGTAAATGCGCCACATACCTTGAGATATAAGTTCTAAGGTCTCAGTATAGCTACAACGGCTACTCCACCCTTCAAACCGAAACGCCTAACTGCTTCACGGCAGAAATAGGCGGGGCGGTGGTACCTACCGGTGCGGACTCACAAGAGGTCCTACCACCAGTAATAAAGATTTTACTGAGAGTTGAGGTATGAAAGTCATATAGTTTTTAATCTGAAAAGAAATGTCACTGGTAACAAATGTTCAGTATATTTTTGGGCACAATGATAATTGTTTTTAGCTTGTGATTTCAAAACGATTTCACTTCATCAGTGAAATTGATGTTTTGCAATTTTAATGAAATGAAAGTCGTCGTCCCGTCGGAATTAATTTGACTCTCTTCTATGAGTTAGAAACTTCCACAGAGCCATGTCGAAGAGGCCAGAAACGCTTTCAATAAGTCAACAAACCAAAGACGCGAAATTGTCTTTTTTTGTAATTTATCAATTAAAACAAAGAAATCTTGTAATAACTAAACGTATGAAGCTCTTAAGTCCGCCTAGGCTGCCATTTCGATTTGGACGACACTTTCATTTATTTTTTTATTTGCCAAGCAATCTGTTTCGTGGAGTCAGCCAGCTGTTTGGAAAGCCGGCTCCAGAGTAAACACAGCAAATTGCCGCCTTGTGCCCACAAGTATGCTTGTAAACAAGTTGCTTAAGGAATTTCGAATGTCTTTATAATAGCTGGGCTAAAAATAAATGAAACTTCATGAATTTGGTTTAAAAACTGAATCAAATCAAATCAATTTTTTTTTATTCAACATAAATGAAAGTACACACTTGTTGGACGTAAAAAGAACTACCGCCAATTCACAAAAACTAACCTCCGTCCTGAGAAGAACTGGAACTCAGCGGGCGTGTCTTTTTTTTTTAACCATTAGTTTTTTTTTACAAGGAGTATTACAGCGTAACAATTATTGCAATATTGAAATGCCCGGAGCGAGCAACTTATTCCCTCTTTGGGCAATCTTCTAGATAATCAAAGAATTAAGAAAAAGAAAAGATTAAGAAAATTGAGTAGGTTTTTTTTGGTTCGAAAAAACCGAACCAAATGGAAGACGATTGTGCAAAGAGCCACGAAAGCCTCTCAAAGACGCAACTTTCAGCACTTTTTATTTATTATTTATTGCTTAGATAGGTGGAGGAGTTCACGGACTACCAAATTTTAAGTGGTTACCGGAGCCCATAGACATCTAAAACGTAAATGCCGCCATCCACCTTGAGATATGAGTTCTAAGGTCTTAGTTTTTACAGTACAACGGCTGCCCGACCCTTCAAACCGAAACGCATTACTGGTTCAAGGCAGAAATATGCAGTTTTCTCGGGATAGTTTGAAAAGGCAATGTTTGTCAATGATTATCGAGGTGGAACATCCTGCTAAATCCGAAAAACAAAATAAAAACCGGACTAAACATTACATTTTACATTATTCTGTAAACGAAGTCGCATTTCTTGATATTTAAGACAAAAAGAATAGAGTAGAAAATATTATAAATAATTTTCAATGTTGATTATAAAAAGCTAATTTTTTTTAAACAGGGGGAGAGCCCAGGGACCCGGCGCCACGGCGAATGCGACTCAGCCGAGATGGCGGCATCGGACGCGGCGTCTGCTCCTTCTGTGCCCCCTGCCCCTTCTGCAACGCCACCAGACCCACCAGCCAACAACCTTACTGAGGTTCAAATAACTCTCCGTTTTTCATCGCACTCTGAACAGGTCGTGGCCATGAAGTAGGAGTGATATTTCTAGATACATAACGCCTCACCACTCATCATCGTTGTGGATCAACGACTAATGCAATAAAAGTGCAACCAGTAGCAGATTTAATTTGCTGAGTCCACCATACTATATTTTGGTACCAACAATTTGTAGGCTAATTAACAAAGCAACGTTTTGTTTTTTAATAGATACTTCTATGGTTTTGTTATTAATGGGGTAGCGCAGGCAAAGAGGGTCAAAATTAAAGTATGCATCTATGGTTATACAAAAATGTCGTACTAATAAAGAGATTTAAAAATTAGCTATCCGGCTGCTGTAGTCCACCAATTAGAGTAAGACGATGTCTTGCGTCATGGGGAGAGTCAAATAATTAAGGCTGGAATGGGATTGAAAATCCAAAAACAACCACCGTCAAACAAAGAAAAAAAAAAGATGTGTGGTGTCGTGGGACACCGGATAGAAACGAAGTTCCTTAGTATAAAAATATTAATTTTCAGTTCTATTCGATGTATAAAGAAAATAATTATTCGGGTATATATATTTTTATTATGATTTTTTTATTGATACAAATAAAAAAAAATACTTTACAAAGTTATCAACTTTATTTTATTCACAATGATTTATAAAAAATATATAATACAAATGTGTTATTTTTTGTAATTTATTACAAAGTTAAGTCGTACACTGTGTGCATTACTAATTTATACGTTATTACAAAGTTAAGTCGTATACTGTACGTATTACTAATAAAAATCTTACGTTACGGAAGTTTTTTCCCGGTTAGGGTACCCCTCCGCATCATCCCATAAGGTACTTCGTTCCAAAAATGCATTTAAGGTAGAGCCATATATTTCGCTTTCAATCTTAAAGTGATCACCGTCGTTCACAGCTTCCGGAACTATCATGACTATAGTTACGACCCTACCTTCCCCAAAGTTATATTTTCCAGTCTTGATGAAGAATGAAATATACAATTCTCAACAGACGCAAAAACAACGCTCGGTAGTGGTGTCGCTCACACCGGCAAGGCAGCGGGAAACCTGGGCGAAGAAGGCGGAGTTCCTACTGGCGGTCGTCGGTTTTGCAGTGGACTTGGGGAACGTCTGGCGGTTTCCTTATATTTGCTACCAGAATGGAGGAGGTGAGTTTAAGGCGGCTTGTTATATCTATACTAATATATAAATCTACAGCGGTTTTTACGAATGTTCCGTTATAACTACTGAACCATGTCCGATTGACTTGAAACTTGGTATCCATGTACTTAATGGATAGGCTAATATTTATATGAGTGTTGGACTCCCTACACCAGTTGCGGGGGCGTTAATGATGAGAATCTTTGTGGGAGAAGAAGGGGGTGGGGTGGGTGAAGAAATAATAGAATAAGAAATAATAGGTAATAATGTTAATTTTAAATGCCCAACGAAGCGGACGGGTACAGCTAGTTTCCAATAATTTTTATGTGTTATCACATAAAAATATACTTATACGATATTTTAAAGAAATAGCTTTATGAAAGATGAGCTTAAGTCCTACATGAGTTTTTCCGAAGACCTAAATGTGTTTGTTTGGGTCAATCGGTCTTCAATGATAGCCAGAAACGATAAACTCCAGAGTGAAATATCAAACAGAAGACTCTTTCAATTGATACGGAATAACACTTCGAAGCAAATTAAGTAAGAAGGTTGTGCATATCAACCAAAGAATTGAGAATTTAACCCCATGGATCTGCTATCTATGAATACCCATTATTTTGTGACGACCTTAAGTTGTTCTTCAGGCGCTTTCCTGATACCTTACTGCGTGATGCTGCTGTTCGGAGGTCTTCCGTTGTTCTTCATGGAGCTGGCTTTGGGGCAGTATCATCGTTGCGGCTGCCTCACCCTTTGGAAGAGAATCTGTCCGGCTTTGAAAGGTAAAGCAAAAACTTGTGTTTTTGGATCGAAGTTCCTTATGGAACGATGCAGAGGAGTATCTTAACCGGGAAAAAACGTCCGTAACGTAAGAGTTTTATTAGTTATGCACACAGTGTACGACTTAACTTTGTAATAACGTACAAAAAAGAACATATTTTTTTATCATTCATTGACCACGATCTCAGAGCGTTCGTTTGCGCAATACACTAACTCTTATGCAAACAACCATAAATGAAGTGTACCACAATAAGTTCGCCCGTTACCGAATGACTGTGGATTGTTGCGAAACCTCCAGTTTTATTTTCTTTATACCTCGAATAGAACTTAAAATTAATATTGACTTCGTTCCTATCCGGTGTCCCACGACACCACACATCTTTTTTTTGATAAAACAACTTCTCATTAAAACGTTTCCTATTGAATATTGATCAATGGGCTCAACAACACGCACTACGAATTCTCCAGACTTTAATAATTAGGGTTATTAAGTAGGGAAACATATTACTGCGGATGTATGATAGATATATAGAATCTGAGACAAAGAATAATAAATTTCAGTTTAGTTTAATAATGTCTTGGACAAGTCGGAGTTCCGTATCTCTATCTTTCATTCCTTTCATCCTTCCGTTCCACATCGTTTGATTAAAAGCCGAATATACTATAAATTGAAACAAGTAATCTATACTAATATTCTAAAGCTAAAGAGTTTGTTTCTTTGAACGCGCTAATCTCAGGAACTAATGGTCCGATTTGAAAAATTCTTTCAGTGTTAGATAGCCCATTTATCGACAAAGGCTATAGGTGTGATGTGATATATATAGCTAGGCTATATATATAGCATCACGCTAAGACCAATACAAGCGGAGCCCCAATAAAGAATGTTTCAAAATCGGGGTTATTTTTACCTTTTGAGAGCTTCCGCTGCATGCGCTGCAGAAACGGTTAAAGTTTCGCTAAAATAATGTATGACAGAATTGTTTCCCTTTAAAAGATCTAAAAAAAGTCCGCGACATCATATATCTATGTGTTAAGGTTGGCTCACTATAACGTTCTTTATGCTAACCAAATTTGTTCTAAAATAAAGCATTATTTGTGAACTATTCCACGCGGACGAAGTCGCGGGCAAAAGCTAGTCAAAAATACATAGCTCATTTTAAATCAGTCAATATAAAAAACTACAATTAGAAGAAACAGTTTCCCCTTAGAGCACTAACGAAGATTACACAGTAAGCTTCCCCGGCCTATCAATTACTCAGTGAGCGAACCTTAAATAATTATCTCTTGTCATTCGTAATTCAAAATCCCAATACACAAATCAATCTAGAAAATCACAGCAAAATCGAGAGTGTACGTAACAATGCTCAGTGCCCCGCGGGGGTCCTTCTTTTGTATTGAAGAAATCGTGCCTGTCTTTTACTACTGGGAAATATCTCTTAAAAACTTGATTGCAGCTTGAATCTGGTATTGTATCTGATTTTAAAGATACCAGTAGTATTATTATAATTTATAAAAAAAAATATTTATGGGTTTAGAATAGAAAAATCTATTTCCGTGAGATCAAAAAGGGAGACTATGGGATTCACAGGAGCATAGGTAGCAGCGTTTCTATTTGTAATTTTAGCCTTAACTTACCTTCCATTTCTGGAACGTACTACCGTTTTTGTTGTTTCTTGAGCGCCATGAAATTTCCTTCAGCAAACGGGGCTTAATAATAGTCCCTACGTTAGATAGCATTTCGGATACGTCCCTAACTAAACTACGCCAATCTCCAAGAAGCAAGAACGGTGTTTAGAATTAACACCTGATGGGCCGTAAGCTTGCTTGTTCTCTGGTCAATAAAGAAACTACAAAGATGTGGTATATTATTATTTTATTTGTCATCAATCAATATATATAGTTATATATAAATGAACTGCTGTTCGTTAGTCTAGCTAAAACTCGAGAACGGCTGGTCTTGAATTATTTGCGGAAGTCCAGAGAAGGTTTAAAACGAAGATAAATATGAAAATGCTCGGAATTAAATAAAAATAACAATTTTGTTTTTCCTTTAAAGTATCTCCCGTCGGACGGATTCCTTTTGTATGTTTTAAGTTTATTTTATACAAAAGTTTATGTCTTTTATTTATCGATTGAGGCACTACGAAGTCTGCCGGGTCAGCTAATAATATAATAATAATATTATAAAGAGGAATAAAGAGGAAAGATTTGTTTGTTTGTTTCGAATAGGCTCCGAAACTACTGGACCGATTTGAAAAATTCTTTTTCCATTAGAAGCCGACATTGTCCCTGATGAACATAGGCTACTTTTTTTTTAAAAAAAATTATTTTATTTTTTTGGTTTCATGTGTGTTTTAATGTTTCCGAAGCGAAGCGAGGGCGGGTCGCTAGTCAAATAATAAAAGAGAACTATTGTTTAGAAGAGAGGATAAATAATGTAACGTAATGGTCATTAACAAATTATACAAGATGAAGATGATGCGTGTTTTTAATATAAAGTAGGTATACACGATCGTTTATTGACGGACCAAGGACCGAAGCAATCGCTAAGCACTACTTAAACACTCCACATTCACACACAGTGGGTCAAAATGAATCGCCTTATAAATATACAGCAGGCAATGCTTTTACTTGGAAGACAAATGGAGAAGCCACCCGGAGGGAGGGCCTTGTTAAAATGTATGAAATGGTCAGTTGCTCTCGAGCTCCGTATAAATTGTGCTTGATAACATTGAATGACAAGTAAGTGCTGTGTGTGCGCGTGAAAACTTCGGATAGCTCTAAGAATTATCTGACTTTATATTTGAGAAGCGATATTCGTGTTGAGATGTCTATGGTCCGAAATTTAAAAGAGCTGGCGTTATAGTCGTAGCGCGAAAATCAGAGGTTTGAAGTTTTTCTTTTTTTTTATTGCTTAGATGGGTGGACGAGCTCACACAACAAATGTTCACGATTGATTTCCACGGTGAAGGAAATAACATCGTGTTATAAAAATCAAACCCGCAAAATTGTAATTTGCGTAATTACTGGTGGTAGGACCTCTTGAGTCCGCACGGGTAGGTACCATCGCCCTGCGTATTTCTGCCGTGAAGCAGTAATACGTTTCGGTTTGAAGGGTGAGGCGGCCGTTGTAACTATACTGAGACCTTAGAACTCATATCTCAAAGTGGGTGGCGACATTAACGGCGTAGATGTCTATGGGTTCCGGTAACCACTTAACACCAGGTGGGCCGTGAGCTTGTCAACAAACCTAAGCAATAAAAAAAAGATGTGTGGTGTCGTGGGACTGGTGGGACACCGGATAGGAACGAAGTTCCTTATTATAAAAATATTAATTTTAAGTTCGGAATTGTTGAATTTACGTGCAGCGACATCTATTGATAATAAACTAAATAATTAAAAAACTTACGTTACGGACGTTTTTCGTCCCATAAAGAACTTCGTTCCAAAAGTGTCATCACAAATCTGTTTGGATGGAAATTTATAAAACCACATTAAAATCTAAGTATTTACATAAATCAAAGACCAAGTTCGTGGAAGTGCATCGATCGAATCCGAATGAAGGACACTACAAATATTTGGTCTACAGATAAAGTCTGACTCGGCGCGGCTCCGTTCACTAAGAGGTCAACTCTTTCAATATCTCGAAGATATTAGGGGTGTTGAAATAAGTTGACCTCGAATTCATAAATACGAAGAAAAAAAAGATGTGTGGTGTCGTGGGACACCGGATAGAAACGAAGTTCCTTATTATAAAAATATTAAATTTAAGTTCTATTCGATGTATAAAGAAAATAATTATTCGGGTCTACATTTATTATTATGATTTTTTTAATGATAAAAAAAATGCTTTACAAAGTTATCAACTTTATTCACAATGATTTATAAAAAATATATAATAAAAATATGTTATTTTTTGTACGTTATTACAAAGTTAAGTCGTACACTGTGTGCATTACTAATAAAAATCTTACGTTACGGACGTTTTTCTCGGTTAAGGTACTCCTCTGCATCGTCCCATAAGGAACTTCGTTCCAAAAACTTATTTATTTTAATGATTTTAATTAAATAATGTAGGTGGTAGGACCTCTTGTGAGTCCGCGCGGGTAGGTACCACCACCCTGCCTATTTCTGCCGTGAAGCAGTAATGCGTTTCGGCTTAAAGGGTGGGACAGCCGTTGTAACTATACTTGAGACCTTAGAACTTATATCTCAAGGTGGGTGGCGCATTCACGTCGTAGATATCTATGGGCTCCTGTAACCACTTAACACCAGGTGGGCTGTGAGATCATCCACCTATCTAAGCAATAAAAAAAAAACCTAAAAAACGTAACACGTAAGTAGCTGAAACGCGCATCTCGTAATGAATGTAAATATAACATACTCTATTCCATATTATCAGTAGTTGACTTTCCCGTGGAGAAAGAACTTATCCCGCACGATAACTGGTCACAACTTTTAAAGGATTGTATTAAAACTAACCAAGATCATTTTAAATTAAATTAACTTAAATTATTTTTAATTATTTCATGTTTGCTTAAAAAAAAAAATTAAAGCCAAGACTAATTAGGATAAGTACAGTTCTTCAACATTTAAGAGCCATGTAAACTCCTTCATATTACCGACAATGTGAATTACAAAACTGCTAAATAAAAAAATCGGCGTACAATTTTATCGGTTTGCAGAGAATGTTCAGAAATTTTTGTTCCGTCCGTGATGTATTAGCCTCAATAATGAATGCCGTGGTTCTAGGACCTCCGGAGGTGTGATTTGACTAATCGCAGGCCCTGGGTCGCAGTTAAGACTTGGATAGTTCCCAAAGTTGTAGCGGCATTGAAATTTTATTACACTGAGAAAAGTTATTAATTGTTGCGATAATTGTTGTTTAGTTATCAGAGACATACTCAAATCGAAATAATAATTTGGATAATGAGCACGTCTGCCGTTCAAGAAAAAAAAGTAAATTACCACCACCAAACTTGAGTAATGAGATCAAAGTCTTGCTTGTAATTAATTTGAACTAATTGGAGGAACACGCACAACACCCCCTCCTATATCACATAAATACAGACATCAGAAAATTCATATGCGACAGTAAACCATTAGACATGGTGGAAATCGTCGACTCGATGCGTCATCCTTATCAGACACATATGAAATTTCCGCCATCAGAATCTCCTTATCTCCTCCTCCGATTCTCGAGCGCTGCAACTCACGAAACGATATATTTCGAAGCCCGTAAATTCATTGCAATGAGCGGGAAAGCGTGTAATGATGTGATGAAATATTAACATTCTTATAATATGTTTTAGTCAATTATATTGGTTAAATATTTCACGTTTTTGTCGCATTTCTCCCAATAACTGATAGCAATAGTATTAGTTAACTAATAAACCACGAATTATGTTTAAAAAAAAATTTCTGGCCGGAGGCCGAACCTCCTACGAGGTCCCCGCGTCTGGGGGCACGCGGTGTATGTGGAACTGGTCCGCGACTGCAAAACCGCGGGCCCAAGGATGTTTTCAGGACCCTACCCACTAAACGACTCCCCTGCACTCTTCGCCCAGGCGTCCGATCCCTTCCGAGGTCAGAACGTTGCTCGTCGAAACCAGTGTGCTTAGTGCGAGTTTTTAAACGCTCTCGATACCGTAAAAGTTAGTTCGTTCGGAATTTCTAACTCGCACTAAGGACACAGAGCAACGCGCCAATGTATGTTCCGCGGTGTCATCCTCGTCGCGGTCATGACTCGAGTTAATGCGCTACAACTTTTTGGCCTACCTATTGCTAGTAACCTCGAAGGGTTTTGGTAGCTTCACCGGACGTGTAGGCGAACTCACGGGTCTCAACCTGTGTGCTTAGTGCGAGTTTTTTAATGCTCTCGATAGCGTAAAAGTTAACCCAATTTTGTATGCAGTTAGAACAGCGCCCTTAGCGGCATACGTACGCAAACGATCCCTTTCCATACAAATATGCGCTAACTTTTACGCTATCGAGAACGTTAAAAAACTCGCATTAAGCACACTGAAAACTTTGTTTATACTAGACCTAGTAAGAGCAGCGGTTCGCTAAATCTATCACCAGATCGGAATCACTGCGCTGTCACAACCCAAATTAGTCAAATTGAACAAAACAAAATATGAAGTTAAACATCTGAAAGGGAAAGATCAATCGAATAACGTGTTCCCGGATCACTCCGCTTGCGGATTAATCCAATTAGCTGACTCGATTCTATATCGTTTGATTAACTAATAACAGATGGCGCTGATTTGATTCCCGGATGCGTCGGTGCTGACGCCGAGTTCGTCGGGGCGGTCGGAGTTAAATTAAGGCATAACGTCATTTTGGACGCGCGAAGATTTATTGTCAATTCACAAACGTCTAAACTTCGTTCCGAAGTGTTTATTTGAGTAATTAAATTAGCTTGAACTCAATTTGTGTTTGCAGACGGGCCATTACATTATATTATCAATGATAGATGACCTTTTCAGTAACTTATTCGGCGTTTATGGTTATTCCACGATTTGGATTAACAATCAAAAGAGTAGAGACAATCACAAGTGTTTGTCGAAACACAATGACCTTTCTGAAGACAGAGTACTCCACATTTATTAGCATCCGGTAATAAGCGTGGCCTTAAACTAGACAATTACGCGAGTACTAAAATTAAGAAGCATAATAGGATGATTCTTGGATAATAATTGTACTTCCTTTTTATATCTTAATATGACTGACATTGACAGAATTGAATTTTTGACGTAAACGTGAATTACTCTATTAACAACCTACTATTTATCATATTTTCATCATTTTATGGGATCCTGGATGCCATCTCTGGTTGCATACACACTACCTACCTTCGCGATTTAAACAAGTGTCTGTTTTCTGGCGAGGTAACCTGAACAGCTTGACATATCAACTACCGATCCTATCTGAATGTAGACTGTCAGAAGCTGGGACCAATAGTATCACATATGACCCCAAATACTTCGTGGATTTGAACCAAGCTGAGGCAAGCCATAGAGCTTTCCCACATCACAGAATCCTTTTTTTTTTTTTTTCGGGCCGAGGTCCGAACCTCCTACGAGACATCACAGAATCCTAACCCAACCCACTTTCATTGACATGTAATGTTAAGACATTAAAACCCAACTATCTGACGTTTTCTAATCATCTTCTCACATATTACCAGGCGTCGGTTATGCAATCTGCATGATCGATATATACATGGGCATGTATTACAACACAATAATCGGCTGGGCTGTGTACTACTTGGTGGCGTCTCTGGCTTCCATCAACTCCGTGCTCCCTTGGACAAGCTGCAACAACGAGTGGAACACCCCGCTGTGCACACCTGTCACTGCGCCTCAGATCAACCCTAACAGTTCTACACCCGCGAAGGAGTTCTTTGAGTATGAATAGTTTTATTTACTTTATTTAGCTGCCATAGCAGGTAATACAGGCTAGGGTAACATAGCTTTTACTGGTGGTAGGACCTCTTGTGAGTCCGCGCGGGTGGGTACCACCACCCTGCCTATTTCTGCCGTGAAGCAGTAATGCGTTTCGGTTTGAAGAGTGGGGCAGCCGTTGTAACTATATTTGAGACCTTAGAACTTATATCTCAAGGTTGGTGGCGCATTTACGTTGTGGATGTCTATGGGCTCCAGCAACCACTTAACACCATGTGGGCTGTGAGTTTGTCCACCCATCTAAGCAATAAATATACACACATGTGTCATATGACATGACATATGAGATTTCAGACATGTGACATATATTTTAAATCTCAGTATCAGTGGTACAGATACAATCCTGATGTTCATTCGAAAATTTACAATTAAAAGACGCGAGATGGTGAGCTTCCGATTATTTTGTGTCTTACCACCAGTTTATCAAAATTCTTGGCCTGTATTATTGATTGCATAATTCTGAACTAAAATAGCACCATATCATCTCAACCACTAAGTGTCGTAAAGGCGACTAAGTGATTAGCCGGAAAATTAACAATAGCGTTCACTATTATACTAGCCTATTGTTGCTAACCAGTATGTGTAAGCCCGCCTGGGTAATACCTCTATTCTACTGTTACTACCGCGAAACCAATTCTTCGATTTGAAGCCTGGAGCAGCTGTTAGACTTGATATCTAAAGGTGGGTATTGGCATCCAATTTGTTAAATGTATGAGCTCCATATAACACCAGTTGGAAGCGGAGTTGATTCATACATTTACGCAATAAATATACAGTCAAACCTGGATAAGCGAGAGTTCAAGCGCTAACGCTCCCTCTGAATTTCATTTCGCGATTTTCCGGATTCAAACGCATTCACTATTTTAAGTTTATCACTTAATGACAGTACTTCCGTTTTGACATGATGCAGAACAGAACTTTCCTTCGCAATTGATTAACGATAAACTGAGTAAGTCCGACAAACAGGACGGTACACAGGCGCACGTGTCCATTCGAAAAGAATGCGATAAAATAACAACGTTATTTAGTTTCACGAAATAGAATAGGTTCAATATTGACGAGAAACCAATACAAAAACAATGGAAGGAAGTTCTACAAAAGTTAAGAATGAGTCATAAAATAGCAGATGTTAAATTTAAATTAGTTTTTTCACTTGTTCCTCCTAAATAATATAAATAAATAAAGCTCGACTGTCGCTTATAGAGGTATAGATAAGTAGCAGTCTCACTTACGGAGGTCCATGAGGGAAAAACGACTCTCTCTTACAGAGGTTTCTGTTTCTCGCTAATAGAGGTTTTGGGAGCTTAAGATGACGGTTCCTGGCTATTACTCTCACTTATAGAGTTTTCTCACTTATCCAGTTCTCACTTACCCAGGTTTGACTGTAAATAAAAGATTATTTTATTTCACAGACGTAACGTCTTAGAACAGCACAGATCGAACGGCTTGGACTACATGGGTCCGATAAAACCTTCACTCGCTTTGTGCGTTTTTGGAGTCTTCGTGTTAGTTTATTTCTCGCTTTGGAAGGGAGTGAGGAGTGCTGGAAAGGTATGCATTACTTTTAAAAGAAATTTGGTACTGAACACAAACTTCGAGATAGCGAAATTATAACGATGCCAGTGGAAAATTGTCCTTGGTTCGGTGTGCTTAGTGCGAGTTTTTTAACGTTCTCGATAGCGTAAAAGTTAACCCAATTTTGTATGCAGTTGGAACAGCGCCCCTAGCGGCAAACGTACGCAAACGATCCCATCCCATACAAATATGAGCTAACTTTTACGCTATCAAGAACGTAAAATAACTCGCACTAAGCACACAGATACTTTTTCTATGATATTTTGTGAAAATAATGATAGTATCCTTTTACCAGGATTATTAAGATACATTTGTTACTTTTTACTATTGATAACAATCTTAGAACTACTTGAGACTTCTAATGCCTATGTTTTTCCATTTAGGTGGTTTGGGTCACAGCTTTAGCTCCGTATGTGGTTCTTTTAATTTTGCTCGCAAGAGGCGTTACTCTACCAGGAGCTACAGAAGGCATCCGTTATTATCTGACTCCTGAATGGCACAAGCTTCAGAATTCTAAGGTAAGGAATTTGTTTAAAAATAGAGAAATTACCTCTTCACGATATTAATTTAAATGGAATACGGAAGAAGTGAAACAGAGAAATTAAGATGGTTTTGTATTTATTCCTTTGCCACATGCTCATAAATACGATACATTACTAGATTTATAGTTTTTGTAGTTGCCATTTAAATAAAATGTGAATATGAGCCGATGGTTGGGGAAAATGTATCCTTGAAATTGAATATGTATAAAAATGTGTTTATGTTAAATAATAAGCACCAATAAGTGGCGATGATGAGCGAACAGAAATTTATAAAATAAAGATACCGCATAATCTAAGCACAGTTCGATTTGCTCCACGTATCCCTTTGGCTCGGGCATCCCTTAGGATATTCGACCGCTAACCCAAAAAGGAGGTACAAAGATGACTTTTTTTTTTATTGCTTAGATGAGTGGACTAGCTCACAGCCCACCTGGTGTTAAGTGGTTACTGGAGCCCATAGACATCTACAACGTAAATGCGCCACCCACCTTGAGATATAAGTTGTAAGATCTCAGTTTAGTTACAACGGCAACCCCACCCTTCAAACCGAAACGCATTACTGCTTCACGGCAGAAATAGGCAGAGTGGTGGTACCCACCCGCGCGGACTCACAAGAGGTCCTACCATCAGTAAAAACAAACAAGGCACAAAAGAGGCAAACAAGATACAAAGATGGCGTACGTTTTTCATTCAGGTCTGGATTGATGCGGCCTCGCAGATATTCTTCTCTCTTGGCCCTGGATTCGGAACGCTCCTGGCTCTCTCAAGCTACAACAAGTTCAACAACAACTGCTATAGGGATGCCATCATCACCTCCTCTATAAACTGCCTCACAAGTTTCCTGGCGGGATTCGTAATCTTCTCCGTTTTGGGGTCTGTAGTAGTTAAAACTATAGTTATTTGTTTATTTTATGTGAACTAAGTACGTGCTTGATGTGTTTTTTTGCATAAAAGGCAACAGAAGTTCAGGACTCATATGGGTTTATTTATTTATGGGTTTGGGTGAATTTATTTATTTATATCAACGACCCATGCTTACGAACATGCTCACGGAATAACTTGGTATTTAATGGTTACTGGAACACATAGAACATCACAACATGGATACCGCCACCTACCTTGGTATATAAGATCGAAGTCTCAATATTTTTGAAGTCGTCGTGGTCTAAAGGATAAGACGTCCGGTGCATTCGTGTTGAACGATATGCACCGGTGTTCGAATCCCGCAGGCGGGTACCAATTTTTCTAATGAAATACGTACTTAACAAATGTTCACGATTGACTTCCACGATGAAGGAATAACATCGTGTAATAAAAATCAAACCCGCAAAAATTATAATTTGCGTAAATACTGGTGGTAGGACCTCTTTTGAGTCCGCACGGGTAGGTACCACCTCCCTGCCTATTTCAGCCGTGAAGCAGTAATGCGTTTCGGTTTGAAGGGTGGGGCAGCCGTTGTAACTATACTGAGACCTTAGAACTTATATCTCAAGGTGGGTGGCGCATTTACGTTGTCGATGTCTATGGGCTCCAGTAACCACTTAACACCAGGTGGGCTGTGAGATCGTCCACTCAAAAAAAAAAAATATGAAATTTACTATGCACAATATATAAAATGTATGAACAATATTATGTCCCAGTTCTCCAACTATTCAAATCAGAGCTTATGATTACTTTGCTACAGAAATAGATAATGTGGACTCCATCATACACTTAGAGACATCGATAAGGTCTTTAAGCGTATAAGTAATTATTAACTAATAAGTAAGTATCGTTTGGTGAACTACAAGCATGCCCCTTATCCATTACCGGTGTACAACCATCATAGACCTGTCTTCACGTCGGGAAGAACAACATAAACCAAAAAACTTAGCATTATTTTAGAAACAGATTCCTTAGTTATACAATTTTTTATTGCACCACAATAACATCCATTTCGTCAACAGGTACATGGCACACGTTCAAAACAAAAGCATTGAGGAAGTGGGGCTCGAAGGACCAGGTCTGGTATTCATCGTATACCCTGAAGCTATTGCTACTATGACTGGATCCGTCTTCTGGGCCATTATATTCTTCCTAATGCTCATTACCCTTGGACTTGACAGTACTTTTGGAGGTAAGAAGCCAACAACAGGTTTGTTCTAATATCTTGTTTTAAAATTGCCGTCTCACAAAGTAAATGTGTATTTTTAGTTGACCTACACTAACAGTTCGTTACTACTCATTAAATATATACAGCTGTTTGTTTTCTCAAATATAAAATAACCTTTAAACTTTCATTGGTCTAAACCAGTGGCTCTCAACCATAATAGCGCGACACTTTGATGTATCGCAAGCACCTGTCAAATGCGTCACGCGATTTTCAAATACAATATTTTCTCTGAGGTGATCTAAAGAGAAATATCTTAAATATGGAGTAACGGTAACTGTAACTGTTTACTAGATGTTAACTGTGCGTAAATTCCGTTTAATATATCAATGATCTATAATTTAATAAATGTACCTACCCTTCACTTCAACAATCGAAAATGATGCATGCAAATTCGTCGCTGATTTAAACAGGTTGAGAGCCGCTGGTTTAAACTGTAAACTAATTAAGCAACGAGTCTATATTTTTCATAAAAGCCATTGATTTTACGAAAGGCCAACTTCAGTGTTTTACGAATGGCCAAATCCCAAGTTTTTCGCTCCTCTTCCAATATTATAAGTTGATCATCCTATACTTTTACTCCAAGGTCTTGAAGCGGTCACAACAGCCCTGTGTGACGAGTACCCGCGGGTGCTGGGCCGGAACCGGGAGATGTTCGTCGCAGTTCTGCTACTTTTCATCTATATCTGCGCTTTGCCTACCACTACTTATGTAGGTATTCCTAGATAAGCTATTTATTTCTGATCATCAGATTGCAACTTTAAGTTTTTCATCATTAATTACCTTAGGTGGAACGCTACTTCCAAAAGTAGCGCTCCACCTAAGGAAACCCTTAAACTAATGATCATTTCAGTTTTAATACCGCATCTCTTAATATATCACTAAAAACTGTGTTAACTTGACTATTGAATATTGAACTTGAAGTTTCGAAGAAAGTAACAGTTCAGTCGTCCGTGATGACAAAAGCTATAAAGGATTCGAAACGACGGAAAAAAAATTACGGAAAAAAAATGCTATATTAAAACCGTGAAAGTACTTTTATTATGGTTACGACAAAACCGAAGGAAGCACGATATTGCTTTTGTTCTTCGATAAATAAAAACGTGACTTAGTCGGCAATCTAATGCTAAATGGTCACTGAAGGCCATAGACATATGAGTAAGTAAATCTGAGCACAGACATCTTGCTGTATGATAGTCACCACTAACCAACCTTGAGGCATGGGATCGAAAACTTATTTTAATGTAACTTACGATTACAACTGATTCCCGGCACAAGCAGAGGACCGAGATAACCAGCCTTGTGGACTAACCGTTCTACCACAAGCGATGAGGATGTAGTGGAATGTAATATGTAAGAGACGGCTGTCTCGCCACTAGGATCCAATGGAGCGGATTGCGGCTTGTATAAAAATAAAACAGGAACTGAACATAACGCAAAGGCTTATGACTTGAGGTCGATCACAGCTGTAGGGGGAGCACGCGTTTTATTTTGTAAGAATATTCCTTAGTCATTATTGACGTCATTAGCAGACCTGCCTACGGGCCAGCCGTCGTAGCCAGAGTCGGTTTCAGAAATTGACAATACTACACTACTAAAATAACAACAATAATTATGGAAGTTCCTAAACACGCATCAAATAAGTTAGTGCAAATAAGCTCTAAGTTTCTGGCGCCGCATTCCACAGACCTCAAGTTTTCGCCACTCCTGTAGCCTCAACCTTTAATTTTTTTATTGCTTAGATGGGTGGACGAGTCCACGGTCCACCTTTAGTGATTACGGGATCCCATAGACATCAACAATGTTAATGCCGCCACCCACCTTGCGACAAGAGTTCTAAGGTCTCCGTTTTAACATTAAAACGATTGCCCCACCCTTCAAACGCGTTACTGCTTCACGGCAGAAGTAGGCAGGACGATGATACCTAACCATGCGGACTCACAAGGACTCCTACCACCAGTCCTAAATTCAGGTTTCTGGATTGCAAATACAGCGAAGTAAAATTAATTTTTCGTCCTTTAGTTGGTCATGGTCGCCCTAGTCTCGGAGGAAGGAGTCAGCGCAAACATTACTGCCGTGTGATACGGGCCGTGCATCCCGATAACAGATTATCATTACTGCTACCGAACCAAAACGGAATATGTCACTCCGGATATTTATACTTGCTTCCGTTTTATAAGTCGGAAGACATTTTCAAGTTTTTTAACGCTAATTTGACGTATTTGGCATTCTTTTCCTTAAACTGATGATCATTTGGTGATCGTGGTCAAAATTAAAACTATTACAATTATATTTATTGTAATTAGAGACGTTTTATTTCTGTTTATTGTAAGTGTTCATATAAATTTTTTTTCTATAAATTCTAAGAAAGAAGAAAAAGATAGTCACATAAATATATGTATATTATTATTAAAGTTATCTCAAATTTGCATGGAGTTGGAAGGTTTGGTTAAGTTTGCTGCTAGGGATGCCGTTCCAACTGCATGCAAATTTGAGTTAACTTTTACGCCATCGAGAACGTTAAAAAAATTGCACTAAGCACACTGTTATACGTTTAACATTGCTGCATACGTGAGCATTGATGACCCATTCGTTTTAAAAACGAATCTTAAGACCAAACGGTAAATCTCACCATTAACATTCGCTGAATAAACAATACGATATCACGCGTGATGTATTCACTACATTATTCATGACGGCATGACCTGGACTGCTCTAAGCGATGGGGCGCTTTGATTAAATACCCTGTACACTGACCAGGCTACGTCGAATCGATGTGAAAGGTAACGCTACTAATATCCACTATCTACCGCAGATGAAATAGCGTTCAGAATAGAACAGCGTAAATTAATTTCACCGAAATGAACAAAGACACCAGCTGTTCCTCTTTTTTACATTCACGCCACACATATCGTGTCAGTCTTCTGAATTTATTCATACAACCTTGTAACTATACTGAGACCTTAGACCTTATATCTCAAGGTGGGTGGCGCATTTGCGTTGAAGATGTCTATGGGCTCCAGTAACCACTTTACACCAGGTGGGCTGTGAGCTCGTCCAACCATCTAAGCAATAAAAAAAAATGTTTGCTTTCATCAACAGTATTCAGAGATCATTTTTGACGCCCAATTTCCGCAACTCTTAGCCTTTGGCAACTCTTTCCTTGAGATTATCTACAGCACTGCGATATATCGTTATCAAAGACTGCAGACTTGTTGGAACTTCGACAAGAAAACTAAGGTTTGACATCAATTGTTGGCCATTCGTAAGCTGATTTGACGTTAAGCAGGCCGCTGCTAGTGGTATTGTGGACAAATAAAACTACAAAGTGGTTTGATGACGGCTCCATCTGGTGGGATGAGGAAGAAGAAATATTTAAAGATTTTCAAAAAAGATCTCGATTGCTGCGTCTGTTTACTGGTCACGCTTTTTTTTATTGCTTAGAAGGGTGGACGAACTCACAGCCCACCTGATGTTTAGTGGTTACTGGAGCCTGTAGACATCTACGACGTAAATACGCCACCTACCTTGAGATATAAGTTCTAAGGTCTCAAGTATAATTACAACGGCTGCCCTAGGTACCCTTCAAACCGAAACGCATTACTGCTTCACGGCAGAAGTAGGCAAGGTGGTGGTACTTACCCGTGCAGACTCACAAGAGGTCCTACCACCAGTAAAACGCAATGTTTATTATAGATTTATCTGGCTTTAAAATTGTTTCACCAGGGAGGAGTATTCCTGGTGGATCTTCTAAACGTGTACGGTCCTGGGCTGGCTATTCTGTTCGTGGTGTTCGCGGAGGCCGCTGGTGTCTGCTGGGTATACGGCGTGGATCGCTTCTCTGAAGACGTAAAGAGCATGCTAGGGCACAGCCCCGGCTGGTTCTGGAGAGCCTGCTGGTCTTATATCAGGTAAGATTGTCTTTGACAGTAACTAAGTCCTGAACATTTACATCGTAGAGGGAAACAGATTGTTAATAGCGTAGATGATATTTATTGATATTTACTGATGGTAAGACTTCTTGTGAGTCCGCACGGGTAGGTACTACCACCACCCTGCCTCTTTCTGCCGTGAAGCAGCAATGCGTTTCGGTTTGAAGGGTGGGGCAGCCGTTGTAACTATACTGAGACCTTAGAACTCATATCTCAAGGTGGGTGGCGGTATTTACATTGTAGATGTCTATGGGCTTATATTGGAAGGTCACTGAAACCCATAAGCAACCTGATTTTTCTGTTGCAGTATTTTTATATCAGGTGTCCTTCCTTCAAACTACCAAAAGCGAATACTCCAGTGCTATATTATGGTTGTGTACCTTTTTTTGAGCCGAATGCAAAACTTTCGACGAGGTTTCCACTGATGATTGAAGTGGTGGAACATGTCTGGCGATCGAAGTAGAAATTACGTTAAAAGATTCCCTTATAGAAACAGATATAAGTCAATGTAATAAAAACGTGTTGAAACACACAGAAAGATCTCAACTCACGTTATCTGCCCTCAGCCCCGTGTTCCTGCTAGTTCTTTTCGTGTTCTCCGTCCTCGCTCACCAGGAGATGCTTGGCGGGGAGTACACTTACCCACCCTGGTCCATCACGGTGGGCTGGGTGATGACCGGCACCACTGTATCTTGCATACCGCTCTACATCGTTTACAAGTTCATCATCACTCCCGGCAGCTGCCTGCAGGTGAGAATTAGGGTCTCCTCTTTTTAATTAACAACCTTATTGAAGTCGTCGTGGCCTAAATGATAAGACGTCCGGTGCATTCGTATCTAGCGATGCGCCGGCGTTCGAATCCCGCAGGCGGGTACCAATTTTTCTGGTAAAATACGTACTTAACAAATGTTCACGATTGACTTCCACGGTGAAGGAATAACATCGTGTAATAAAAATTAAACCCGCAAAATCATAATTTGACCGTTGAAGAAAAAGAAGAATATCAGTATAGTTTGTACAGCGAAGAATGTATTTAGATTTTTTAGGATCTATCTATCTATTGGGTTTATGGCGTTTCCTTTTAGATTTCGCCAATGTCAAGTGACAAGCGTATTTCTCTGCTTATGTCTGCTTTCTATAGCGGGCTTCGTGAATGAACAAGGTCACAGATTGTAACTAAGAATTAAGTGAGTATCTAAGAATGTTTGATGACAGGATCGCTGTTGATGTACCTAAAACAGATAAGACGCACACAATATATATACAGGGGTTAGTTCATTAAAAGACAGACAAACTACAGCTTAATATTATTATGGTTAATGAATGAACTAGGATCATAATCGAATTTCCTTAGAAACATAAGTTTACTATTCTCAAAAACAGTCTGTACGGTTTATTAGGTACATACATTAAAAGGAATGTTTGGGATAGAAAAATACAGAACCGAAATAATTCATTACCTCCATAACTGCACATATTCGTAAAAGAGTTTTACTTAGTGTTTTTTTTTTAATTTTCAGCGTATAAAAACGATCAAACGTCCCCAAGAAACATCCATACCCCCATCGGATCCAGCAATCTGCACGCTGTGACCTTACCAGACCACTTGGACCACTAAGCCTGTTGTCGAGTGGCTGGTCTAACATCAAAGATATCCTACGAGACGACACCAACCTACTTCTTACAATACGTCTTATAATTTGACGTAAAATAATAATCCTCAACAAATCATTTTCAATATTAAATTTAGCGTAGTTGTTTAAAAAATGTAGTAGCAAATATATTATGTAATAATTATAATACCATTGAATTTTCAGTATAGAATACTCATTATCTATAAATATTATCTATTTCCGTATCACAAAGTATTACGCTGAATACTTTTTCCTAATCTATATGTATATATCGATATTAAATTAGAATAGTCAGTTTAGATTATCCGCTTGTAATCTACGTAGGTATTTAATAATAATTAAGTCATGATTGTTGTAGTGGTCGCAAGCTTTATAATGTTCATGTATAGCTTTCTGAAGTTTTGGAATACATATATTAGCATTAGGGTATTGAAATACACATTAAATGATGCGAGATAGTTAAGCTTTGGTAGATTCAAGCTTACACTTGATGTTAAATACTTACTTAGTGGTGTAATGTTTGGAAAGTATAAAAAGCGCGCGTGTAGAGAGTATCCAATCTGGACAGCTATTAATCATATCTTATGAGATATGGAAATTCATTGAAACCTGTATTCTTTCAGAAAATTCCAGTTTAATATTGGAAATTACGATTATAATGATTTTATATCAAAAAAAATATATAATAAAAGATAGAAGAAGATAAAAAAACGAATCAAACGTACCAATGCTTCTGGATAATTCCAAACGAAATTTAGCTTTGATGAGTTAGGTTTAAGATTTAGTCTAACATTGAATAATTAATTAGGTACATTGCTGTAAATATAAAACAAGTATTGCTGGACAGACGATAATTTTGAACGAAAGTTTTATAGTATATATTCATACTTAATCAAATATAAATTCAAAAGTAGAAAAAAAAATGAAAGAAAAATAAAAAAAAATGTAGATTAGAAAATCGTAATTTTGTTTTAATCTTTAATATATTATTAAGCAAACCCTATTGTATTATTTTTATTAGCATTGTTCTGGTTTGTAAATTGTAGTATTTCTGTATTCCAGGGCAATGAGTCCAGAAATACTACATAATATTAGAATAGGTATAAAAGTAAGTATTAGGTTTAACAATGTCTACAAATATACGTTCACATATATGTAGGTATAAAGTAATTTTATTAAAAAGTAATGGAAAGTTAATTGTAGCAGTAATCATATATAAATTTCAAATTTAAGTTTCAAAAATCTAAGCATTGGTAGGCATATTTAATGTATGATTAGGTATAGTAATATTTGATTTATAATACATTTCATATATTGCATTTAAAGCCAAATTAAAATCTATCGTTTAGAATTAAGGCTTCAATAGTTATCGTTGCGTGAGTAGGATGATTCCGTTTTAGTCTTAGTCATGTACTTTCTCGTGTATCAACACTATCCCGTTTAAATATTAGACGTTATTCTTGTAGAGAAAGTTACTGTTTCAAATATTAGGAAATCATTGTTATAAATAATATTATTGTACTTCGCATACTTCTCTAGTATTGTGATTATTAACAACATATTTATAAAAGCTTTTTGAAGTTTTCACTTAGCAGAACTAGTCTGTGAAATAGTTGCGCGTATCTTACCTGATATACTATATATTATGGGCTTGTACTTACCTATTATGTGTTGTTCCAAATTTAGGATTTTATAAAAAAAAACGTAAAAAATGGTTCATATACCCATTACTCATTTTAGAGTTCTCTAGGGACATTGTATTGATATAGTAGTATTATGTTTTTGTGTAAAATGTTGACGTTAATCCCAGAAATAAATGCAAATGTGTAACTAAGGCCTGTACCAGCCATTGCAGGTCTTGTAACCCATTTGTTCTAATCCCAGAGTTGTTTTATTTCTCGATAGAGATCCTTACCAATATAAAACCCGTTTAAAAATTTGTTTCTGTAACTGCTGCGTAATTAAATAAATTATGATTTATCGCTACAACTTATTGAACACTGTTCTTCAAACACTTCGGATTTAGTTATATTATTAAGAACGCTTTAAGACAGAAAATAGAGTAAAAATGGGGCTAGTAAGTAGGTAGTACCTTAACAGTAACATAGTTTGGAAGAGTCGTTCAATGTGTTTTCTTCAAGTTTAATATGGTCTTCTTTAGTTTTCGGTAAACCTATTTACTCTAATTAAACGACTATAGCTACTCTTACGATATTTTTTGCACAAGATAAGAGTTCATGGAACATAATCCTCGTCACCAGCCCACGCGGAACAGCTGGAGTTATTTGGGTTACCGCATTTGAGGCATGAAGACTCAATTATATTCAATATTTGCTAACTTACTCTTTAAATTGGAAATTGTCACGGGTAGAAACAAGCCGGGTGGCAGTACCTACCAAATATTAAGTGTTTTATCTATGGTATCAACTTATGCGTACCTACAATATCACCTGTATTAATTAATTTCGCATTTACTGAGTTTATATCCGAAGTTGCGAATACTTTATGATTTTAGCGATAACGAAGGACTCAATTTGGTGTCCGTTGATGAGAAGCCAAGTTATAAGCTAACACGAAGTATTGCGCTATAGTTTCTCTGATAGAAAAACTATTTATTACAATTTTCAAACATTGTAGAATAAACTAAAAAGTTTTCATTTGAAGAAAATGAGAAATCCATAGCCAACTAGATCATGCGAGACACTGAATTATGACATTAATTGACAAAAAAACTAAACAACACATTTCGGTACATAGTTATGTAAATTTAAATGGTTCCTGTTTTTATAACTCGCGTTGGTAATTTTTTTTTAAATTTTACTGTGTAAATTAATGGTGCGCAATGGAGACTATGAAAATGGTACATTTGTGAAGATGTTCATGAGAAAAATCCGCCTTATGTATGGCGGGTAGATCAGTTAGCTTCTCTGCACATTGTGTGAGTAAAACACCGTAGACAATTATTAGGATAGTCGGAGAGACTCACTTCTAAGCTCACTTCACCATCCCTGCAGCTCATAGAAATTAGAGAGCAGTAATGCGTTTCGGTTTGAAGGGCGGGGCAGCCGCTGTACTGTAAAAACTGAGACCTTGTCATGTCTCAAGGTAGGTGGCGACATTCACGTTGTAGATTTCTATGGGCTCCGGTAACCACTTAACACCGGGTGGGCTGTGATCTCCTCCAGCCATCAAAGCAGTCTCTATATATAAAAATGAATTACTGTTCGTTAGTCTCGCTAAAACTCGAGAACGGCTGAACCGATTTGGCTAATTTTGGTCTTGAATTATAAATTATTTGTGAAAGTCCAGAGAAGGTTTAAAAAGTACATAAATATGAAAATACTCGGAATTAAATAAAAATAGCAATTTTGTTTTTTCTTTGATGTGTCCCCCGTCGGACGGATTCCTTTTGTTTGTTTTTAGTTTATTTTATACAAAAGTTTAGGTTTTTTAGTTATCAATTGAGGCACTACGAAGTCTGCCGGGTCAGCTAGTAAATAATAATAAAAGATAATGGAGCAATTCACTTTGAAAATAAAGTTGGATCGAGAAATTAAGTTGATGTCGCTTACACGGTCATGCCTCCAGAGAGACCCGTGATTACTTACTGAAAGGAATAAACGGGACGATGGTGTCTAATCGTCCGAGACCGTAACACGCCCTACCCATCGACAATACTCAAAATTTCGCAGGACGAATGGTGGAAAAATACTAACCTTAAGAAAGTCCGAATCGCGCCTACCTTCTCAGTAACATCCCTAGAGACATTCGTCATATAAGATTACCTATGTGATCTAAAACAGCACTAAACATCTTCAAATTAAAAACTAACTAAAATTTAAAGCAAATCATGCACACAAGTTCCGAAAAACATTAGGGCCTTCGCTCCACCGAGCAATTACACCAGCCCTGTGAATTTTTTTCTCGACTAGCCGGAACATAAATAAAAATAAAGAAAATACAAAAAAAAAAGTGTGCAATTCACACGTGGTAGAAGTGAAACCTTCAAAAGTGTTGGGTTTAAGATAATGAGACGAATGTAGAATATCGGGAAGAGGATAATAATTGTAGGTTTTTGTAACGATCACAGTGATACAAAATTTGATAATTATTTTACATTTTATTCGTATATATTTCATAGATTTATTCAGAATGTATTAATTACGAATATTAGGTACGAAACAGAGCACAAAAAGAACCACTAATATAAGAAACACTATATGATGCATCCCATCTCATTTTCTCCCACGTTAAATCTTATGAATTTACGCGTCTGTCCAAAAACTGTCGCTTTTTCGTTTCATCGCCTTTCGAATCACAACGATGCTAAAGAAGTTTTCACTTCAAGAATTTAATCGAAAAAAATAATCAATCCTCTAGGATATTTGTGACTCTCACTTGGAAACGATAGCGAAATGGCTGAGCTGCAACGGCGATGTGTGGGGGGTCGGACCCACGGTGGTCTTCGCGAGTGCCGCGGCCCTGTTTCTCTACAACGAGCTCGAGGCGACTATATTCACGGCCGGAGACCACGCTCACATCTCTGCGCTGGAGAAGACGCTCATCGTGAGTTTATTTACCATTATAATTTCATTTTTGTTCGCATCATTGATAATTCTACGTGCTCTGAGCGCGTGCCGTTCTGAAGGGCTGGGCAGCTGCTACACGATGAAATTGAGACTTTAATCTCGCTTTTCAAACATAGGCATTCGCTTTGTATTGTCGATGGACTCCGGTGACCATTTAATACCGGGTGAGCCGTGAGCTCTTCAGTCCGTCTGCAACAAACAAACCCACATATTGTTCTCGACAGAATTCACGAAACAAAAACAGTATTTCTAAATTTTTATCGCTTAAACGGGTAAAAGAGCTCACAGCCCACCCGAAGTTGTATGTTTGCCCATAGACAACAAGAAGTTAATGCCGCCGCCCACCTTGAGACATGAAGTTTAAGTTTTGGTTCTTTAGTACAACGGCTGCGCCACCCTTCGAACTGAAACGCATTACAGAATGCTCATTGACAAATTACTTAATATTTTTGATTTCTGTATTTACGTTTTAGTCAAGCATGGTGCTGGGCATGTTGGCTCTGATGGTCCACCTCTGGGTTTGCTCTATGAGATTCTTCCAATATTATCTGGACACACTAATCAGAGATGTTAGTATTTTTAATTCAAACCTTTTTTTTCCTACCTATGCTGATAGCCTTGAGAGGCTATATCAGCTTCTCCTTGACGTGTAAGTGAGCTCACGAGGCCCAAACCGGGTGTGTTGCTAACACTGGCCCTAGCGAGAGCAGTGCTTCGCAGAATCAACCACCGGATCGGAAACGCGACCCACTGAGAAAATCCGGCGAGAAACTCAGTGGGCTGTGTCTATAGGTTAATTCCCTCGTCGAGCCCTTCGTCGCAGGCGACGAGTTCGACGAAGACGGTGACCGGTGCTTGTGGTACCTAAAAGCACCGTTAATGGATCGGGAGGAGCCGTAATGACAAAATTAAACCAGAAAAGCACATCTTCCAAGTAGTAATTATTTCCATATTAACATTTCCGTTCTCTTAGAGTCCAAGCATGCTGCTCGAAATGACAACAGCGGGTCTACTCGGCAGTCAGCATTCGGATATTGTGGTCCTCGGTCCTTTGACGAAGTTCCTGAAGAACCAGCAGCCTCAGATCCATATCACGATCTGCTGGTTCCTGTCGCTTTGCTATGCTGATTACGTCAGGAAGCATTATTGTCAGAGATTCAATATGCCATATTTGGAGCAGTGGTTGGTAAATGACGCGTCGAGGTTACATCTTTTTTGTTTCTTTCCGTATAGTTAAACGTCTGTCGCAATCCGATGTGACTCGCTAAATATTCGAACCCAGTTTTTGGGATTGAATTTAATATTACACACGGTAAAGCATATTCCAATATAAACGACTTAGTGATATAAAAGGCCACGCAAATCATAAGACCTAACCCACTTCGATAAAGCGGCACGACACGAGAATCCTCTCGTCGTAGCCGCCGTATACTACATTGCCGATCCTGGGGGCCAAATGGTAAACAATCGACGTCGCCTAAAACACGTCATTTCGGAATCTCCCGATCCACTAACGGTGCTTTTAGGTACCCCAAGCACCGGTCATCGTTCTCGTCGAACCCGTAGCTCGCGACGAAGGGCTCGGCGAGTAAATTAACCCACAGACACAGCCCACTGAGTTTCTCGCCAGATCTTCTCAGTGGGTTCTCGCGATTCCGATCCGGTGGTAGATTCTGCGAAGCACTGCTCTTGCTAGGGTTCGTGTTAGCACTGTCATCAGGTTTGAGCCCCGTGAACTCACCTACTTGCCCAGTGACGCTGATATGGTCTCTCTAGACCATCAGCTTAGGTAGGAAAAAAAAGACCTAACAGATTTCTACTTCCCGTCTACACGCTGTGATGTGTAATCTAACCTTCGGACCATATCAGCCATCTTAACCATTCGGACCATCTTAACATCATAAAGTTGGGATGATGATCCCTGTGCATGCTGGTGGGCTTAGAGCTTTGCGAGCAGCATTGGAACTCAGAAATTAGATAATTAGAAATGCTTTAATGTCGCATGGATGAAGACACGTGCCATGCCACGTGCTGATTCGAAACAGAATTGAAATGTCGATTTTGGTTGGCTGTTTTTCATCAAAAACTTATATTTGTGAATGTTATAATACACTGTAATGTGGCAATATTGAACTTAGGCAAATAGAGTTGCAAGACCGCGCCAGCAGGAGCGCTCACCGCGCCATGGAGAAGGTGAACAGTTTCGTAGGTTCCGTCCACCAGCGGCTGCGAGGCTTCTCGCGACCAGCGCCACCGAGCCCTGACACTCACACGTAAATGACTCACTCAATTCATCGAGCTTTTTCTTCGATCTTTATTTCCATCGAATGTATATACATTATATACCTACTTTACGGCGTACTACATACTTATATAAGCAGACGGTGTGCGGAAACACAATTGGTTATCGTCGTATTAGAGAATCAAGAAGGCCAGACATCTTGGTTAATAACAAGAAAGACAATGCGTTGTCGGACATTTTAGCGGGTAGTTTTTGGCTTATCGTGTTAACCGCGTTACCAGTGTGAAGACTGGTTGGTAAAAGAGATTGGACAACTGTTTAATCATTAGTAAAATAACTGAGAGCTGGATACACGAAACTTTTCACCAGGTAAAGACCGCAAATTTCGTCATGTTCAATTGAATTAGGTTATATTTAGTAAGGTAAATATAGTTACTAGATTGTCGATGGTAAAGGCAGGCGGATTTTTGTTTATTTAAGAATATTTGACTGTCAGTGTGACGTAGCTTCAGGTATAATGGTATGTACTAGAGTGAGAGCTCGTCTCCGAAGCAGTCGTCGGTGGATGTCAGCGCCCCCGACAGCAAGGAGTCGTGCAGACTGCAACGCGCCGAGCAGGGGAAGGAAATGTGCGTGCGCATCGTCGGTAAATCCAGTGAGACTACGGCTGATGCCATCGAGAAGCTACGAGCATTCATCTCTGTTAGTCTTCTAACGTTATTCCAACGTACACCTTAAAGGCACGGTCTAATGGTGACCTGAAATGAATTTGCCCCACGCCACGAGTTCAATTTGAAAATTGTTTGACGAGCTCACAGCCCACCTGGTGTTAAGTGGTTACTGGAGCCCATAGACATTTACAACGTAAATACGCCACCCTCCTTGAGATATAAGCTCTAAGGTCTCAAGTATAGTTACGACGGCTGCCCCACCCTTCAAACCGAAACGCATTTCTGCTTCACGGCAGAAATAGGCAGAGTGATGGTACCTACCCGTGCGGACTCAATAGAGGTCCTACCGCCAGTAAGTGATGTCAATTTGAGGATTTTGTTGAACAAAAGGCTTATAAAGGATTATGCCCGGTGCATTCGTATCGACCGATGCAACTGTGCCGGTATTCGAATCTCCCAAGCGTATAACTTTGTTTTTCTAATGAAATAAGCACTTAACAAATGTTCACGAATGACTCCCACAATGAAGGAATAACTTCCTGAACAATGGAGACTTAGACCTCATGTCTGAAGATGGGTAGCGGCAACCACGATGTGATGTCTATGGGTAACCACTCAACACGGGGTGGGCCGCGAGTTCACCTGTCTACACACAAAAAGGAGGTCAGGAATGGTTTGTCATAGAACTAGCAATATTCATCGAAGCGGGGCGGATCGTCTGTTGTACGTTGGGGTATAGTCTTGCTAATAGTCCTGGTCAGAATCCCAACACCAATTCATTGGGCTTGTTTCGTAGTAATTTCAAAAATATCCAAGTTTAAGGCCGTTGAGAGAGAGAAAGAGAATACTTTGTTGTACACAAAATTAATAAAAAATGCGAAACATTAAATATAAAAAAGTACAATTGGCTGCCTTATCGCTATAATGTTTATTTATTTCCTAATTTACTGACTGATAATCAAATCAAATCATATCAAGGTTTTTTTATTCAAAAAAATGAAAGTACATACTTGTTGAACGTCAAAAAGAACTACCGCCAATTCACAAAAACTAGCCTCCGTCCTGAGAAGAACTGGCAAGAAACTCAGCGGGCATGTCTTTTTTCTTTTTTTTTAAATATTAGTTTTTTTTTCATTTTTACAATGAGTATTATAACATAACAATTATTGCAATATGGTAATGCCCGGAGCGAGCAACTCCCATTTTGTGCAATCTTCTAGATTCTAGATATTCATTGACTTTATACTATAATCTTTATTGCAGATGTTCTTTAAGTTTTCTTAAGCCTATGTATATGTAATAACAGCGAACTGTTGTCGTGTTTCACTTGTTTCAAAATGCAAATGCGCAGGCGACGCGATGCGAGTGCAGCCCTGCACCGGACACCAGCGACGTTGGTGCTGGCGGAACTCCAGCAGAACAATCGGTGTGAGGAAGAGCGTCCCTGGAGAAGCATGGCCAAGCTACCCTTCTAACCAACTCTTGTTACGGAAACACTGCATTTCACGTCAATAAACTATCTATCTAATAATATATCATGTATAATGGAAAAAGAAAACTACATCAATGTTTCTATTAAGACAATAAATAAATAATAAAAACTCTGTCTCATAAGTGTTTATAATTTAATATTTAGCAAAAATATGAGCTCAGAGCAAGCTTCTTGCGTCATAACCGATCATTGAACCAAGTTCATTGGTTTAATTATTCACAAAAATGTAATGTTTAAAAATTTTCAAAACACGACTCCCGTTATACAGCCGGTGTCACTGTAGCAATGTAAGGTCCTATCAGAGAGCCCACACTCGCATCTGTCAGACTTGTAAGAGTTGGAACAAAGAAACCAGTACATGTGTACATAGTAGTCGTGTAAAAAGCTACCTTACAGAAGGAGAAACAAAAATATTAGCTCCGGTTATCGTTTCACAAGACGCGATTAGAGCAGCTTACACTTACCCCCGTATCTTTAATTACGCAATACTGCTTACGAAAGAAATAGACAGGTTGATGGAACCTACCCGTGCGGACTCACAAGACGTCCTACCATCCGCAGTCTACCGACAATGACGCTTGGTGACCAGTACGGTTGGAATAAAACTCCAATAACCGACACAAAGTTTATTGAACTACACAGACTTGGAGTATCGTTTTTTTCTGGGCCCGTCTCTGATAACCGTGGAGTCGCTGAGGGCCCGGCGGAGGGCGCAGGGCCGCTGTCCGGAGTCGCTCGGGCGACGCTCCGCGGAGGGCGGCCGGTTCAGGTAGTAGCCGTACGGGCCCATCTCGCGGCGCTGCCACGGGTTCGTCGTGATCCTGAACCACCAAGTTTACTACTATAGCCTAGCACAATAGAGCAACACAGATATGCACAAACAGGCAAAGACAAAAGTGTTATACCACCATTTTCGTACCCGTCCGTCGTCTCGTCAAGCGATTTGTTTTTTAACCAACTTAAAACTACCAGCCTAACAGCTCTGAACCCATCTGCTCAGTCTAGCTGACTGATTGCAACATAAAGAAAGAAAAACAAAAAAAAAACTTAAAAATAAGCAGTTACCCAATTCGGTTGCACTTTTTCGAGTGATACCTCAGAACTTTTTTAAATAAACCGATTTTGATAATTCTTTTTTATTTGAAAGCTTGTGCTTCCCACGTGGTCCAATTGAAACAATATCAATATCTGAGCGGTAGTCTTTAAGTCTTCCTTGATAAGGTCTATTTAATGGACTTCGACTATATTGATGATATAGGTACGCATATTCTTAACCTACTTTAAAAAAGGGGGAGGTTCTCAATTCGACGGTATTTTTAATATTTTTTGTGTCTGTTTTCTTTTTTGTTAAAGTTTTATTTATGATTAGAAGCAGACGGCGGAGTCATAGAACGAGCTTCGTTAAATTATTTTTAATTACGGGCCATTCAAAATTATTTACAAAATACGATTTGTGCAAATTGCTCTTTTTATTTTATCATCAAACGCTAATATCACTTCCCATCTTAATTTTCGAGAATGATTCTAATCGAACACACCCCATAGATTATATCATCTTGTTTATCAATCAATGCGTCACGCTATTCTATCACTTATGAGTAGACCTAAAACTTCTGTGTTTTTGGGTCGATTTGTCTCGCATACTGACCATATCATGAGTGGCTGACTCTCTGGCTTCGCTCTCGTGTACAGATAATAAGCCAGGGGTCCAGCCGCGAGCATCCACACGACCCACAGTTGCATGAGCTGACAGCTCTCGGCGTCTTCTGGACCGACACTGTTATCACGCTGTCGCCGGAGAAGTTTTTTTTTATTGCTTATATGGGTGGACGAGCTCACGGCTCACCTGGTGTTAAGTGGTTACTGGAACTCATAGACATCTACAGCGTAAATGCGCCACCCACCTTGAGGTATAAGTTCTAAGGTCTCAAGTATAGCTACAACGGCTGCCCCGCCCTTCAAACCGAAACTCATTACTGCTTCACGGCAGAAATAGGCGTGGTACCTACCCGCGCGGACTCACAAGTGGTCCTACCACCAGTAAAAAAGAGTAACAATTACACAGAGTAACACTTATGTACGGAAGTAGATCGAATAGTTCACGGCTCACACGGTGTTTAGTAGTGAATGGCGCCTCCGCCTTGCTACATGAGGTGGAAATCTCAGAGCTCTACTGCGAACAACTGATGCGAGCTTTCTTGAGTTGACTTGAGAGAAAGCGGCCGGAACTAATCAACAGAAGGGGTGTGGTTTTTCATCATGATAACGCTAGACCTCACACATCTTTTGACACTCAGCAAAAATTAAGAGAGCTTGGCTGGGAGATGTTAATGCATCCGCCGTATACTCCTGACTTTGCACCTTCAGATTTCCACCTGTTTCGGTCTCTTTAGAAATCTTTGTTTGTTTGCAGTGTCAGGTTAACATCACGAGAGGACTGCCAAAACCAATTGTCGCGGTATTTTAATCAGAAGCCCCAAAATTTCTATAGCAATGGAATCATGTCTCTACCTACAGGATGGCAAAAAGTTATCGAACAAAATGGTACCTACATACTTTAGTTAAATGTAAATAAACTATATTAAAAAATGTGAATTTTCTTAAAAAATGCGAAGAAACTTTTTCCCCAACCTATTACATAGACATCTCAATGGCAAGCACGATGTTGTGTCCGCGAGTCCGGTAAGCCCTTAACGTTAGTTAGACCGCGAACTCGTCTGCTCAGTCAGCAGCCTGTCAGCTGTTGTCAATGTCCCGCAAGAACAATACCCAGCCAACTGGCGCCCGGTAAACGAACTACAAACAAATATTACGGCGTCCGGCGGCGATACTGTACATTTGTATAAGTATATTCGACTACAGCTTTCGCGATTTTCACCAGCACCGCCCAGAAATGTAAGCTGTAGATCACCATCCACAGGAAGAGGAGATTCTGAAATATAGATAAAAAAAACCATCATAAACATATTGTTTTGTAAATAATTTTACTTCCTATTTAACTTGGGAAACTCCCATGTTCCTCCGGCCATATGGATAGAAAGCGATTATTACGCGATTTCATGTCCCTCGTATAACACGTGTTCTCCCGATATAACGAGGGAATTTCCCGCTTTTTTTTTTATGTATTTCAATTGTTCTTAACTTGATTTTAATAAAACGCATATATTCCGTTCCTAACATACATACCAAGAGAAGTTAAACGTGAATATTTTATACATAACGCGTGTTATACGGGAATTTGCCCTAAACATGTCATAACGGATCTTCCCGATCCATTAACGGTGCTTTTAGGTACCTCAAGCACCGGTCGCCGTCCTCACCGAACCCGTCGCTTACGACGAAGGGCTCGACGAGTAAACTAACCCACACACACAGCCCACTGAGTTTCTCGCCGGATCTTCTCAGTGGGTCGCGTTTCCGATCCGGTTCTGCAAAGCACCGCTTTTGCTAGGACCAGTGTTAGCAACACTCCCGGTTTGAGCCCCGTGACCTCACCTACTAGTTCGGTGAATCTAGAATAACCCCTCGAGGTTACTAGAATAGGTAAGAAAAAAAACAGAATGGGAATACTATAACACGGAACCGATCCACCGGGTTATACGTATACTGCACTGTACTAACTTGCAAAACCAGCTCCCAAAACGGAATCCTACGGAACGCGAAACGTCTGAACAAGGCTGCGATCATTCTCTGCGCCAGCAGCACGGCGCCAACCGCCCACAACACCGTCGGGGCCGCCGTGACCAGACCTTCGCCGCATTGTGCCCATTGAACGAACTGAAATAAAGAATCTATTCTACCTTTTTTTTTTATTACTTAGATGGGTGAACGAGCTCACAGCACACCTGGTGTTAAGTGGTTACTGGAACCCATAGACATCTATAACTTAAATCCGCCACCCACCTTGCGATATAAGTTCTAAGGTCTCAGTATAGTTACAACGGCTGCCCCACCCTTCAAACCGAAACGCATTACTGCTTCACGGCAGAAATAGGCAGAGCGGTGGTACCTACCCATGCGGAACTTACAAGAGGTCCTACCACCAGTAAATTACCTCTTTGTTTTCTATTTCTCTCGTAGTGAAAACCTGTTTAGTACGAGTGTTTGTACCGTCCATATCTACGAACACCTTCCAATTAGGAATAGCATCCCTCAAAGAAATGAAGCTAGCAACATTAACAGATGCGCGTAATCACTGCCGGTAGAACACATTGTAAGTTAGTTCGGCCATCCTGCCTATTGCTACCGCAAAGCAATCGTGCGTTCTAACTTGAAATGCCGTTGGAGACTTTGAGGTCATATTTCAATGTGGGTGGCGGCAGTAGCGTTGTGAGTTCTTTGGACACCGGTAACCACTAAATATCAGTTGGGCCATGAGCACATTCACTCCTTAAATAATTTAAAACATACTTTAACATTACACGCATTGTAACACGTTTAAAATGAGCTGTCAATAGGAAATGGCGGGAGGGCAAAATTGTCATAACTTATTAGTTTTCTAAATTATTTAATTAACTTAACCAGATTAACTAATTAGGTTTAACTAGTAATTTGGCTCTTTAGAACTCTCAGACACAGCCTACTGAGTTTCTCGCCGGATCTTCTCAGTGGGTCGCGTTTCCGAACCGGTGGTAGATTCTGCGAAGCACGGCTCTTGCTAGGGTTCGTGTTAGCAACGTCGTCAGGTTTGAGTCCCGTGAGCTCACCTACTCTACACTACAGTTAAGGTTACGCTGATATAGCCTCTCAAGGCTATCCAGCTTAGGTAGTAAAAAAGGCTCTTTAGTTCTCAATGTGTCTGAAGACACAGCCCAGACTAGGGCTTGGCTGCGGGTCGGTCTATTACTAGATTATAGTTAGTACAGTCCATGGCTGTCGAGACTTGAGAAGCGACGCTCTGTTCCTAGACGGCGACCATTTCAATGTGTATTTACCTCATAACTTTCAATTTCAACGTAATTCCATATTGTATTCCACATCACATGCATTTGAAGTTGCATACATGTGCGTAACGTGGTTATCGATAATTCATTCGAGTTGTTTATTAGATTTTGAACATTGCAATCAACTGTGATTAATATTATTTAATAAAATTATGTGACGTATACTCAAAGGGAATTTTGAAAGGTGTCAATCATAGATAATAAATACACTTAGTATTTTAGTTTAATTTTGTTTATTATTACATATTCATGTCAATTCAAGTAAATGTTTGCAGTGGTCTCTCTCTTTCTGCCTCAAATATAATGATTTGAACTGGCGTATCTCCTACAAATCATAATAATATATTTTTTAGATACACTATTTTACAACGTAAATATTATTTTATTATAAGCTAATTTTTTTAATGAAACGGACAGTTAGTACTTAATCACGAACTATCTCCGCGATGAAGGTATAAAACCGTGTAATAAAGTTTAAGCCTTAAATCCTTTTAAACTCTTCAATCTTAAGTCACTCTCGCGGAGTCTCTGGAATCTGCCCTTATTAATTACTTTTCAGATTTTTTAAGCATAGAATTTTCGGCTGTGTGCTTTTAAAAATTTACAATTCAGCTTCATAATTTCACGTTAGAAAATAAAACTGTAATGTACTAAGTACGGTATATCATAGACAGGCACAAATATTCATATTACCTTGAATTTTATTTCAAAATGGTTCTCGATGCTGATTTTTCTATTTTCAAATTTAATAAATTTAAGATTATAATTAATAATATTTAGGCAAGGCAACAACTGCATAAATTAAAAAAAATCTAATTTGATTAGTATTCGATTAGATAATCTGTAGGAAGTCTTTAGGTTACCTGTCTACTTCAAAATTGTAAAATTCAAAATAGCAGTAAATACTTTTCCTTTTTGGAAAGTGGCCATTCTATTTTTTTTAAAATCAAATCCTTATTTCGTCAATAGATGTCACTGATCAATTAATCTGAATCGCGGTGACGAGGTTTTCAAACAATTGTTTATATAGGGTAAGAGGATGGACATCGGCATACTAACCTTGCGTAGGGTGTACCGTGATCAGGATGGCGGTTGCCCCGGGCTGGTTCCGGTCATTGCACTGCGATCGGGTCGAACCAGTCTGTGACTATCTCATTTAAGAGGTACGTCGTACGTGCAATTTTTGGTAGTCGGACATGCGTACTGCGCAGTCCTTCACCTAGAAGCCACCAACACTTTCTAACAAAACCTAACTTCCATTTTATCTTTTAATCAGGACTGACAATTAAAACCAAGTAACAATTGAATACATTCCATGAAAGCCTAAAAGAAAATATCTATGAAACGCAGTTAAGAAAATACAACTGAAAATCTAATTAGTAAAACAAACCAATCCAAATAGGTAATTCACAGTTAGGCAAAGCAAAGAGAAAAAACATGCTGGTATAGATAGAATTCAAAAATAATTCAGACTGCTGCAACATGCATTATATAACATTTTTTTTTTTTTTTTGTAAAGCTCTGGTTATGCTTAGAAAACTGTCGTGAAAAAGCAATGCACGAATAAAAATATGGGTACTAATTAAGGTCTCTTTGAGAGCCTACCCGTCTCATCGTTTACTGCCGTATAATATGAGCAGACGAGTTCTACGTAGTCATCAGAACACGAAGGCTGGCTTGGATACATGAGATCAGAATCGTAATTGTAACATTGTTGCTACGGTAATTTCGCTACCATACCATTCCATACCATACATACTACGTACTACATAATTTAAGCCCCCAGCTAACAGCCTGGCCACGGGACATTCGCTGGTACAAATATTCGCGCGGTGCGAACGGCGAAGCGTCTAGCGACTAAAATAAACACAGCAATGTACCACGCGCAACGGCGACCGGCGAAATGTACCATGTACCGAGCGATTCGCGCGGGCGACTTGCGACGCGGCGGGCGAGCAAAACAAATGCATGAATAAGGACGGCGCGAGCCACATAGTCGAGCGGTAGTCGCGGCGAATAGTGCACTGATTAAATGAGTTTAGTTGTTTTCGCCGCGAAAAATGAACACTGAAATTTTTATTGCTGAAATACTAGCTAGACCAGCTATTTGGAAGTCTAGCCATCCAAATCCAGCCAAAAAAATTCTAGATACATTCTGTATTTCTCGTGCTTCTTGTGGAATTCTCCATCTATACTCCGATTCTTATTCAAATCATGTACTCCACAATCTCTTCCAAGTAATAGGTCTTGAACCAAAAAACTATTACTTTCTAAACAATATCGAGATAATTTCAATATAGACATTTCGCTGTCGGACTTCTTACTAGTCGCGGCGGCGAACGTAACTACCCGTGGCCTGCAAACTGTGCTGCGCGAATGGTCGCCTCATCCGCCACTTCGTCGTTCGCACCGCCGATCCCCGTGGCCAGGCCGTAATCTATTTGCTAAGGCAATCTCAAACGACATTATTGTGATTTAAGACGGAAAATTGAAAATTATTACACAGTGGAATAGCACGGTGACGGAAAGTCGAAAAGGGCTAGTGACAATTTGTATTGGAAATGTAGATAGATACCTACGTAAATTTAAACAATAAATTGTCAAACTTTTTAAGGTTTTTTACACGGAATAAACTTAAAACTCTCTTATGAATTAGGTTAGACAACAGAAAGCGTTGTACTTTAAATGATGATAAAAGATTCGAACTATCCTGCTGTGATCCATACTTTGTTTAATCAAAGCCATAGAACTTGATGAAAATAATGCTAAGTTATTGTGGTCAAGTATAACTCTGCTTAAATGATGTAGAAATTTATACAATATTTCTTCATTTTCCACTATTTTGGTACCGTCATTCTGAATTAAATCCTTCGCTGCACATTGTCTAACACATTACCTTCCTAATTTATTTTTGTTTGAGGTCTAGTATTTTATACTGTAACTTCAAAATAATTTTGAACAACATGACCAGTGATTTGTCTATAACAATATATAATTAGACCACCTTCTTACCAGCTTTTTTATAATTTCAAACAGCATATAATGAAAACCATGAAAATCAAAGTATATAGTTAATATTATTCTATAAGCAATACTAAAATATTCATGTAACCAAGAACACAAACATATAAATTTAATATCATTTTTAATTCATTAAAAATTTAACCTGTACCAGTAATTAATAAGCACTCTGTGCTTATAGTATTTACTAACCCAAATTAACTAACCCATAGTGGCCATATTATGCTCGTAATCCCCGATGACAACTGTGTACAAAGAAAGGAACAACACATCAATAACATTTTATTTCTCAAATCTTTCTCACATTTATAAAGAATGGGTCAAAATCACACTGTTGGTTAAAATAGATCTTATGTAATATACCATCAATGTTTCTTGAAGGGCAAGGTTTAACATCAATGTTCAGAATGTTTAGGAAATAATTGGAAAACATTTTTTTATTTGTTATCAATATTATTATTTTTTAAATCATACTTTATCATTTATTACCAATACACATCTGCATGACAAAAACAGTGTAATTTTACCTTGACAAATATTTTATATAAAAACACAGATTTTGTTGTAAAAAATACACTCATTTGTATAAATACTAACAAATTCTGTAGTTGCAGTCTGGAATTAACTTTTCATTCCTGCAATCTTGATGTTGGAGTGCATCCTGCAATGATAAAATATATGGACAACTGAGATCATTCAAGTTACTACTGCCTAGAAAAAGTTTACTACGAGAAACTTAAAAAAAGTGCCACTATATGCTCCATTAAATACTTTGGTATTTGAAAGTATGACTCATACAAGCCCTCTAGTCAGCACTTCTAAAAAATTCACATAACTTAAATTGGAATTCATAAACACTAAAGAAAAATGTTATGAGTTAAGTATTAACCCTGCAAAATCCTGCACAAGCCAGGAGCATGTTTTAAAGTTCTTCCACCTAGCAGGTTTATTTTTTCATGAGCTATCTCTGTAAATGTTAAAGTCAAAAAGATCATTTTTTTGACTGACATTTGATCACTTTTTTCATCAAGATGAGATTTTATGTAACAAAATCTTTCAATATAACTTCTCCATGTTAAATATGTCCTATTAACTTCAAGATTTTATATGTGTCAAAGACCAATCTCAATACATTAATTTTATTACTTTGTAGTCAAATCTAGAAGTAGGCAATGATTTGGGTGTCCCTCCCTGGCTATAATGACATCCATGAGCAGCAGTGACATTTAAGTACTATAAGTTGTGTTATATGCTGTTAAGCTTTCTATCGAGGCAATAACTTAATAAATTACATAAATCACCTAGAAAAAAATGCTTTGATTTTCACATTTAATTTTTTAATGTCATTGTATGTGTTAGTTTCTAAATTAAATCCCACTACTACCAAATCATGTTCTTCATATAAATATGTTCTGGGACGTTTTATAGAAAACAAAAATGATTTTCTTTCCGTATCTAATCGTTGATAGACTAAAAAGCTATTCCAATTATATGTGAACTGGTAGGTGAGCTCCCAGGGTTCAACCTGTAAGGACTTGCTAACAGTAACCCTAGCAAAAGTAGTTCTTTACTGAATCTACCACTGGACTGGCATCAAGAAACATAATGGGTTGGATCGACAAGCACGGTGTCCGGTGCTTGGAGTCCCTAAACGAACAGAGTGGATCGAGGGAATCGGATAGGACACGTTTAGGACGACGGCAGCTTTTCTTTGCCCTTTTTGCCTAGGTCGGGTAGGTATGTAATTAGGTGCGGCCATGTTATTGTAAGAGTAGTATCGTGTCACAACACTTTTTCAAATAAATAAATGACAACCGTAAACTTAAATATTAAGAGCCTTCGATATTATACCTAATTAAAGCATTCGTCTGGTCACAATGCCGGAACAACTTTATTGTTGATGAAGATCATAAATTTAAGACAACTAAAGCCTTTAACAGAGAAAATCAACTCTGCTTACCTTTATTTTTAGTAACCTCGTGTTTGCACAGTGGCACACTTAGTCTAATTGCTTCAGCCATTATCTGGTTCATATTTTGAAAATAGAACAAAATGTCCATTCGCAAATACGTTAACTTTGCTCATTATAAAATAAGTAACGACAAAGGAGTAAAGATGATAAAATATTAATTAAGATTAGGAGAATCTTGTAATCACAAAATAATACAAGTATGGGGACCATAGATATTTTTTTGGTACAGGGACCATAGATAATACATGGCGTCTAGCGAAGTGGCGACCATAGACCATAGACTAAGTGTATCTATGGATTGGCGACGCTCGCTCAGGGCTGCGGGCTGCGAACCCCAGCATAGAGCAAAATTATATATTTGATATGCTTAAAAAAAAAAAAATGTAGAAAACTGTAAATATCAAATTAAAAACAGCAAATCTACATCTTTATCTTTATATTATATTTTGTATAATTTAATGATAGTAATTAATATAATGCATTGTACGGAAGGCATTAAAAACAAGAAAAGTCGTATAATTATCAAAGTTTTAACACGTTGACTGCCATGTTGGTCACCAGTAGGCTTAGTGCGAGTTTCAAAAATCGAATCGAATGACTCGCATCGAGTGTACGCTCTTCACGGTGAAACGTGCGGAGCTCTGAGTGCGAGTTACTTGATTTGCAGGACGTTTATTCATCTTGAGAAGCGATAATTTTTTCTTTTATATTGGTAGCACGCAAGGGTTTTTTTTAAGGCGTTTAATTGAAATGCCAAGCTTTCTAACGATATTTATAATTATTCGGGTAATGGGTAATGTACCTGTGCTTAGTGCGAGTTTTTTTAATTACTCAGTCGATGTTAATGATATGTTTAATTTGTGTGAGGTTGTATCAGTGCCACCTAGTGGTAAGCTTATGAATCTCATTTTGTGGGAGAGAGAAGGTTTGTTAATGNACACGCACTCGCACAAATGTCATTCGTGGTACTCATTTCGATAAAATTACTCGGTTACGAGATCACAACGTTAATATGAACTCGCACTCACAAAATAACACCGGGTACGTTTGCCGCTAGGGGCGCTGTTCCAATTGCATACAAATTTGAGCAAACTGGCTCGCTATCGAGAGCGTTACAAAACTCGCACTAAGCACACAGTACCCTACGTGACGCACTGTAGTAATTATATCGCTCTTCGATCTTCATAACAAAGTACCGGAATATTTAGTAGACTCTGGGAAAGACGAATCCGAAAATACCGAGAACTATTTCTAAGAGACCTAAAAAACTAAAACATACTTTAACAAACAAAAAAAGACAAGTTAGGCAATCCAGGCGCTTAGTTGCAGAATACGACATGATTACTGGAGTGCGCCGTGTAGGGCACCAATGACCTATATGACAGTCAATGTCTTAATTATTCCAGTGCCTGCATGTTAGACTAGCTACTATTTCATTTTGAATTTGTAAGTCTTCTTGATTTTCCGTTTCATCTCTACTTTTGTTGAAATCGTACATATTTTTATTAAATTTTTTGAAATAGTCATTTGTCACATCGAACTCGAAACAATTTTTATTTTCTGTCCTAGTGTACGGACTAATAAAATGGATGAAGCATCTTACATACAATACTGAAGATTTCGAGGTCTAAACTGAAAACTAAGAGAATTTCCGAAAAACTGTAGGGTTAGCAACAGTGCGCTCGCTGTAAAGTTTTTTTTTTTCCTTATACTATATGGACAAAAGGAGCTAAGCATATTAGGTACCTCAAGCATCGGTCATCGTTCTCGTCGAACCCGTCGCTTGCGACGAAGGGCTCGGCGAATAAACTATCCCACAGACACAGCCCACGAGTTTCTCGCCGGATCTTCTCAGTGGGTCGCGTTTCCGATTCGGTGGTAGATTCTGCGAATCACTGCTCTTGCTAGGGCCAGTGTTACCAACTTCGGTGCTTTGAGCCCTGTGAGCTTACCTACACGTCATCACTGCACCACTTTGAGAAGGCGGCACGATATAAAAACCCTCTTGTCGTGGCCGCAGGAAATTACATACCCAATCCTGTGGACCGAATGGTAAACAGTCGACATCGCCAAAAACATGTCATTACGGATTCTCCCGATCCATTAATGGTGTTTTTAGGTACCTCAAAAGCACCGATCACCGTTCTCGTCAAACCCGTCGCTTGCGACGAAAGGTTCGGCGAGTAAACTAGACCATAGACGCAGCTCAGAGTTTCTCGCCGGATTTTCTCAGTGGGTCGCGTTTTCGATCCGGTGCGAAGCACTGCTCTTGCTAGGGCCAGTGTTAGCAGCACTCCAGTTTGAGCCCCGAGAGCTCACCTACACGTTAGGGTGAAGCTGAAATAGCCTCTCAAGGCTATCAGCATAGGTAGGAAAAAAAGTTAGAATGTAAACAAAGTAAACATTTATTTTACAAAAATTACTGTACATTATTTGTTAATTAGTAGATATCAAGTCTCTCCTGCTGTTTGCTTCTTCTTTTTAACATCAAAACTTTTTAGTGGATCATTCTGCCGAGCCTGAAAAAAAAAGAGCAGCTATTTTATATAGTGAAGCAATTCCTGATTTTACCTATTTTTATGACATTTACTGACAATAGTTAAATCTAATGAAAAAAGTAAAAGATTAACTCGAAAACATATGAAAAGACATATATTTTTTATTTGCATTATTTTCAAACTCATCTGTCTGAAATAGGCTACCATTGACTTTTAGGTGCAGTATAAAAACCAGCAAATCATCTGTAATGAATAAATTTGTTAGCCGATTAAGAAAGTTTATTTATGATGACAGTAATAATAAATTTGACAAGTGTGACAACGCTGGTGGTAGGGCGTCTTGTGAGTGTGCACGGGTAGGTACCACCATCCCGCCTATTTCTGCCGTGAAGCAGTAATGCGTTTCAGTTTCAAGGGCCCCGCCCAGCCATTGTAACTATACCGAGACCTTAGAACTTATATCTCAAGGTGGGTGGCGCATTTACGTTGTAGATGTCTATAGGCTCCAGTAACCACTTAACACCAGGTGGGCTGTGAGCTCGTCTACTCAATTAAGCAATAAAAAAACTGACAATGGTTAAAATTTCAACAAGTTCTATCAAAAAACACAAAACTCTTATGAGCACCACTGTTGCATGAGTACAGAGATATGTACTGACCTGATATTTATGTCTTTTAGCACTTCCGAAGTTCGCATTCTGCTTTCGTTTCTTAACTTGAGGTTTCTCGGTGACTGTTTCCTGGTCTTCTACAATATCTTCATTGCGCAGGGCAGCCGGAAGCAGGTATTCTGGTACATGTGCCAAATGTTGCNAACACAAAACTCTTATGAGCACCACTGTTGCATGAGTACAGAGATATGTACTGACCTGATATTTATGTCTTTTAGCACTTCCGAAGTTCGCATTCTGCTTTCGTTTCTTAACTTGAGGTTTCTCGGTGACTGTTTCCTGGTCTTCTACAATATCTTCATTGCGCAGGGCAGCCGGAAGCAGGTATTCTGGTACATGTGCCAAATGTTGCTGCACCTTCACAGTGTGCAGTGCCTTGTCCCTTCTTAACGCTGCCAAGTCTGATGGATTCTCCTCGAAGTAGCCCTGTATTTTATTTGTCGTATTAAATGCAAAGTATAAAGATGTTTTTTATTATTATTCTGTGAATAGTATCAGGGAGAAGATTAGTCATTCATCAATGTTTTATGTTTTTATATGTGTCATCATTTTGAGTTTGGCTGACTATGTATATTGAAACATGATATATTAAAAAAACCACTGTGTAATTAAACTAACTAACTCTGCCTAGTTATACTAACTAATACGCTCTTATTAATTTTTAATTGAAGATGGCTCTTAACTTAGCCATGTGACTATTAACTCTCTAAACTTTTATCTATACCATATGATTGATGTACTCACAAATATCATATGCAAGATATTTACATACAGATTGAACAAGCCTTTTCGAATCCTATATGAGACCCTTGAGGGTGATTAAGTATAAATAGAATTTGTAGAATTCGAGAATGTAGAAGTCGTCGTGGCCTAACGGATAAGACGTCCGGTGCATTCGTGTTGAAGCGATGCACCGGTGTTCGAATCCCGCAGGCGGGTACCGATTTTTCTAATGAAATACGTACTCAACAAATGTTCACGATTGACTTCCACGGTGAAGGAATAACAAGATGTAATAAAAATGAAACCCGCAAAATTATATTACTGGTGGTAGGACCTCTTGTGAGTCCGCACGGGTAGGTACCACCGCCCCGCCTATTTCTGCCGTGAAGCAGTAATGCGTTTCGGTTTGAAGGGTGGTGCAGCCGTTGTCACTATACTGAGACCTTAGAACTATATCTCAAGGTGTGTGGCGCATTTACGTTGTAGATGTCTATGGGCTCCAGTAACCACTTAACATCAGGTGGGCTGTGAGCTCGTCCACACCTCTAAGCAAAAAAAAAAAAAAAAACGTGATCTCAATATAAGTTACTAATAAATGAAAATATTAGGAAATAATCCTCCTACAAGCCCCCTTTTGGCTAATTAAGAGCTTACCTGTAACTTTTTACAGTTGAGGAGCTCCTGTTTGATCTCTTTGAGCCTGGCTTCTCTAACTGCTATCCTGGTGACGGCGCGCCACGCGTCTCTGGACCGGTATCTGAACCCTTCCACTTCTTCTAGTGCAAATTCGTACTTTCTGTTAAAATTGAAGCGATATAAAGCACATAGATGTCAGAGAAAGAGAAAGAGGGAGAGAGAGATGAGAATAGTTATTTATAAGTCTGGACCTGAACCTGATCCTGTCATTGCATCGTCCCGCAGCAGTAGTAAAGTCCGGGTTTTAATTTTTCATTGCAGAAACTTGATTATCTTATGAAACATTTAAATCCAAACATAAATTATAATACAATGTGCAGTTCATCACTATTAACTGAAGTTACAAAGAGTAATATTAATGGGAATATCAGCTTCTTAAGACACGAGGCTAGAACGTAGTCTAAAAAAGATTACTATTAATAAATTATTACACCTAATTTCAGATTAAATACCATTACAGCAAGAGACGTCAGTGGTCTTGCTGCTTCCCTAGTAGAGGATCGACGTCTAGTAAACAATAAGTCGTTTCCACGGTTACAGTTACAATGCTACAGTGGAAATTAAATTGGACCATAACTTACTGTAAAACTTTTTGTCCTTTGAATCCATTAGAGAGATGTTGCTCGACTGCATCCATCAAAGGTTTCTCGCGTATTGACACGAATGACAGCACGGAACCCTAATTCGTAAAAGCAATTATAATACTAATACAATGATGGCGTGGGCTAAAGACTTGGGATGGGCTATGCGAGAGCGTATAATGTACGATAGACAGTGTAATTGTGACTTCGAGCCATGTGTAGTATTGTTCATGTGATGTTTACAGACTCAGGTCGCCACTGAACACCTGATGGATTACCAGATCATTAAACAGAGCCAACGGTTTTAACAAATTTACATTCGTAGTTACTTTATATTAGCCGCTATCCCTAGTACATTGTACCTGATTATTTCCTCGGGCAGTCCGTCCGGCTCTATGTACATACGAGTTCACATCGAGAGGGAAGTCAAAGTTGATAACGTTCGATACGTGTTGGAAGTCAATACCGCGGGACACACCAGACTCCTTGTCTTTCTTTCGTTTTGATGATTGCTGAAATTATATTGTTTTATTTTTATTTTATTTTTTATTTGATACTGGTTGTAGATAAAAAGAGAAAAAAAAAAAAAAAAAATTTTTATTTATTTATTGAATTAACAGATGAATTTCATACTGATGTCTGGCTACGAGATCGTAATCAACTGAAACTTTCGTCTCATATCTAGTAGCATTCATGAAGGCTCCACTAGCCATTTAACACAGATTAAGCCAACAGTTCTGTTCACTTAAGCTGGTAAACATATAAGCCATTTTATCATTATCGTGTATTACAGTTTGATTCCTTTGCTGTTTCAATAGGATTTCGTAAACTACCAAAAAGGCGATTAAAAAACTAGACTAGATAAGTAAAATAGTGCATTTCTTCATGTACCAACCTTTTTCTTTTTAGTTCGTTCCTCAATCGGCAATATTCCACCATCAGGCTTCTCCAGTGCCTTCTCGTCCGACGCGACGATAATCTGATACCGGCCGCGGTTGAACTGATCGACTGACAAACAGCGCACTGCTGCTGGCAGCTCAGAGTTGAGCACGCACGAACCAATCTTGAACTGTTCTAAGTACAGTTTCAATCTAAAATCATAAATATAAACGTAAAAATTACATCACAGATGAATCTGGCTATGGAATGAACTCCCCTCCAGGGTGTTTCCCGAACGCTATGACACGTCATTCTTCAAACGAGCCTTGTGGAGAGTATTAAACGGTAGGCAGCGGCTTGGCTCTGCCCTTGGTATTGCTGAAATCCGTGGGCGACGATAACCACTCACCATCAGCTGGGCCGTGCTCGTCTCTCTACAAAGGCAATAAAAAAAAAAAAAAAAATTGAATACATAACAAAAATATTTTTTTTGTTTTAAATAGCACTACTGAAACCCTTCTGAAGAAATGACAATCACATGTTGACGGGATTATGTATCATTCCTGTCCCAGAAATATTTTCTGTATCTCAATCTATCTTTCGAAATTCAAACAATGGCACACCCTGCCATTGTTTGAATTTCGAACATACCAAGTACACAAGTACAAGTACAAGTACAAGTACATAGGCCATGGCTAACTGTGCCCCTGACATTGGTTACATCCATTTAGACCGGTAGCCACTCACTATCAGGTGGCCCATATGCTCCTCTTACAAGGGCAATAAAAACAGGGCCAGTTCAAAAATAAATTCTGAGAAGAAAATTATTAGAATCGAATCTTAACTTTAAAAACTGTAAATGAATTTGTCTATTAGATACATTCAACACAAACTTTTTATTCAAAATAATCTTAAGTGGGATATGATATATAAATGTTATAAAATACAATACACATCGGTTTGTAAGACTCATAAGCCATTATGTGTGCCAATAAATTAGATGATAATAGAAAATTCAAAACTAGACTACCATCAAGCTTAAATAGGCACAATCTTGATTGTGAGAAGTTACTAAGATTTTAACAAAAAAAAAAAAAAGAAATCTGGACCTGTGATAATTTATTGAGACTAATTGATAATTTTAGATTTGTGAACTACAGAATAGTTTATAAGCATTATTAACTTACCCATAAATGGAAGAAAGTCTCTGTTGCCGAAATTGGCTTGGAACACTTCATAATCATTCTACCTCATCTTGCAAAGTTAGTGACAGCATTAAGATCTCCTATCTTAATGCTGTCACTACCTTTGCATTTTTTTAACTTTGCAAGATGATTGGATAATTAATTATTACTTACTTGTAACATCTATCAACTGTTCTGACGAAAATAATACTTTTCCCTCTTACTAAATTCAATTTCAACAGTGCATATAATATGGCCGCCTTATCATCTTCCTCTGCAAATAAATGGTAATGCTGCAGTTGTGATGATGGAGCCAGTTCAGGTTCCTCTAATTTTAGGGTGACAGGGTTCCGCAGTACTATCTTCTTGAGACTGAGCACATCATCTGACAGAGTGGCTGAAGCGAGAACTGCTTGATAGATTTTTGGAAGGTGACTGGAAAAAAATAATCTAGAATGTATCTTCTGTTATTCTACTTCTTGCAGTAGTTGGACCTACTTCATGCTTCCGCATTCGGACACTTAATTAGGATCACCCTACACTACATTCCCTAATTCTTTTACTTTAATTTCTGAGATAGGGATAAGACAAAACTGATTTTATATAGACTAGTTTGCAGAAGGCCACATTTTTTAGAATTAGTGACTATACTTCTAAATCTCCTCATAATGAATAGCTGATATTTAGCAATAACCATATTTGTCAAACTTCAAACAGGTAAATATGAAAACTCATATTTTATCATTTTTTTTAATTTACATAGAAAGGCCTATAGGTTAGTACACCATATGCTGTTAAGTGGTTACTGGATTCCGTACATATTACAATCATCATTTCTCCTTCCTGTGAAAGTGCCATCACCCACTTTGTGACAGGAAGTCAAAATCTCAATTGTATAAGTACAGCAGCTGGGTCCTTCCTTCAAGCATTCTTGAACACTTCTTAAATATGTTCCTTGATTCTGCATACAGGAGTTGAATACCAGTATAGTAATAACATAACAACCAAGTTGCATACAGCCATCTGACCCCAAACTAGGATTCCCTGTGATAACGAACATACAAACCTGTTCATCACATGTTTACTTGATCTGGGAATTAAACCCATGAGCCTCTAACCTGCAATCAAGGGCACTAACAACTGCACCACCAAGTCCATTGGTCCATGACTTTAAGCTCTTGTTAAATCTCTTGTTATTTTTAAAATCAAATCAATAAATAAGACACTATCATATGTACCTCAATAATTCCTTGATTTCATCCTCATAACCAAAAGAGAAGATCAGATCAGCCTCATCGACAACCAGCATAGACAAATCTTCCTTGAGCCTCATGTTGTTTGCTTTTAAATGTACTAGAGCCCTTGAAGGAGTCGCTACAACTATGTCGGGCTTATCAGAGAGTATAGCTTTCTGTGTTTGAGTGTCTCCATTTGCAGAGATATCTATACATCGTACTTCACGTGCACATTTTATAGTTAAATCTCCTATTACTGATGTTATCTAAAATTAAATAATAATTATTTACTAAAGAATATATAGGTAAAACCACTAAGAGAAACTTGTACCTAGTGGACCTCTAAAATTGAGACTGGTAGGTACTTGTCTGCCTAACCATAAGTGACAGTTGAACTTATTTATTATTTTCTGTTTATAAACTTGAATGAATCCCCATGCGTTGGACTGATCAGGTGAAAGACCTTGAAATCCCACTTAACGAGTGTGTGCGCCAAGCCTCAGTTCGCAAACTTTGGAAAACATCTGTCAAGGCAATAAACAAAAATTCCACATGACCACGACTGTTCTGCCAAGAGTAACCGACTATGATGATGATGATTTATGAACTTAAAGTATATTTATATTTAAAATTTTTTAGCACTATATTAAATTGTATATCTACTGCATTCTATTAAAATATAGCATATTCTACTCAATATATATTTTAACAATGTTCAAATGACATGTCTAGGTTCAACTGTGATTAAAACTTCAACCTGGTATCTTGAGGTTAACAGCTGCACTCACAAGATCAATTTGGTACAGTAAAAACTAAGCACTTCACACAGTAAAATTTAGTTCATTCCACTTATATACCTGCCCACACAGCTCTTTACTTGGTGACAATATCAAAGCCCTGATGCTCTGATGTTTGCTTGTGTTCTTCAAGTTTAATATCTTCTGTATAACTGGTACAGCAAAGGCAGCTGTCTTACCGGACCCTGTGCGTGCTCTCATAAGGACGTCCTTCCCTTCCAATAACAATGGAATGGCAGTTTCTTGTATGAGTGTAGGTTCGGGCCATCCCAACTGTGATATGGCCTGTTAAATTAGAGCTGTTTTAATTGATTTTTTTTATTGATTGTCAAGAGCCATGGGCAAGTGTTGTTGGATGGGGTATTCTCGTAGCTTAAATTTTATTTATACATTTTTGATAATTTGTTGTACGTAACAGTATGTAAATTCATAAACAGGACAATGTAAATATAATATTTAATATAAATAACTAAAACATGATGGCGAGTGATGACCCTTTCTCATGGTAGTCATTCGTGCCAGTGGAAAGAGTCGCTGCCTATCACTGAAAACTTTTCTCAAACTTCAATTGAAGAAAGCCATGTTGTATTTAGAAAGCACCATGGAAGTAAATTAAATAGTACAAGTAGGTAGCAAAATTTTCTGGTTGTATTAAAATTATAAAAAAGTGCTCACAACTTCATAATCGAAACATACCTTTAGTATTCTATCATCCAATTCCATTTCATGGAACATAACCTTTTTTTCGTCAGTCATTTTTTAGTTTAATTTTTAAGATTATAAGTATTTTTTTATTTGCAAACCATTTAAAAGTAAACTTTATAAAAATAACCTTTTATTTCATACGTTTCTACAACACGAAATACCAACTTTTTAATATTATTTACATCATAAATATGAGAATTAACATGTCAATGTATCAAAAAATAGCACATGTATGACAAAGACAAATCTATATTGTAGGCATGGAGTTAATAAGTACCTACAACATTGTAGGATATTGTGTAAGTATAATCTATGCATTTTTTTAGGGATTTTATGACCTGGTAACTAAAATCTTGAAGTCAGTCTTATTTTAAATTATATTCTTATTTTTATGAAAAATGATAATATGGAGTGAAATTAAATGAAGATGTTTAATTTGAGACATTAATCAACTGGGATAAAATTAAATGTAGTCAGAGGAGATGTTATGAGATGAAATATAATCTCAGTAAAATGGTGGTCATTATCTGAAATTTTTTCAGTGGACTTTGTTTCATTTTCCCACATTTGTGCACTTTTCACATATTAAACAGTTCATAAACTACCGTCATTACACATTTAAACCTGAAGAAACACGAAATAAACAAAATAAAACAAATCACACAACTTTACTCCTTGCGTTCCCGCCAAAAAGTCGTCTCGATAGGTACTAAGTAGGTACTAAGGGTGCTTAAATAGAACATCTCTTAAGCAAACCTTAACTAAAACAGCTTTTTAAATATACGTCTTTAGAAACATTAAAAGTTAACAAACGAAATTTTATTAAAAAAATATATTTCATGAAATTTGTGATAGAACTTAGTATGACCTGACTTTTTTCGGGCATAGGCCCGAACCTCATAGGTACGAGGCTTACGGGCCTTGGGGACGCACGAGGTATGTGAGGCTTGATGGTCTGCAGATGTTGAGAGCAGACCGCGCGTCCAAGGATGTTTTCGGGCTATTATCTCGTATGACCTAGTCTGACCAATTATATTGAATTAGGGATTCACCGTTCACCACAAACATTAAAAAATTATAAGCCAATATCCATTGTTGTAACTAGGCTTGCAATCTTTAAAATTCTACCTGATTAGCTCTATAGTTGGAATTTTGTGTTTCTTCTAATGTGGTGTTATCCAACTATTGATTTTTGTGCAAAATCTCTAAGAAAATATTTGTTTTTATACGAAACAAGTATTTTCATAGAGTTTTTGCATATGTAACAGTAGGCAACGGCTTGGCTCTGCCCTTTACATTACTGGAGTCCATGGGCGACGGTAACCACCCATCATCAGGTGGGTCGTACGCTCGTCTGTCTACTAGGACAATATTAATAAAAATGTAGGTGAATGAACTTACGACCTACCAGCTGTACTGTGGTTACAGAAGCCCATAGATATTAGATGGCAATTCGAGTGCCTACCTACGTTGTGACATGAACTTTAAGTTTCAATTGCATGTAGCAAAATAACATAAGGGTGGCCCTGCTCTTTAAGCCGGAAAGCATTGGTTCCTATTTCGCGGTAGAAATAAGTGGATTAGTGTTACCTACATACGGACTCACAAGACCCCGAGCCCTGCCATCACCAAAAAAAAACTATTTAAGTTTTTTTATAATCTCACATAAAAAAAACAACGATTAGTTATATAGTCGTAACTCGTAAGGTTTAAGCTGCTTACGCTGTAGGTAGTTATGAACGTAAAGGGTGATATTGCACCATAGAATAAATACTTCTCAATGTAGAAACTAAAATTTTATTTCAAAAACAAACCAAGGGTGTCACAAAAGCCATGTTAAAATCATGAATCAAAGTCTTGAACTCTTGCAATTTAATACCGTTGTATGTTTCGTCTTGTGTTTAAAAAAAGGATAATATTTTGAAATTTAGATTTCAAAAAAAGGATAATATTTTGAAATTTAGATTTCAAAATATTATCCTGTTTTTAAACACAAGACGAAACATATTTTTTTGGGAAAATTTATGAAATTGCTGGGAACACCAAACGGACGTAAAACGAGTTGTTTCTGAATTGCATATTTTCAACCAAACGAAGGGAATTAATATTTTTCTTTCTTTCATCATTCAGTTTCATTTCATATTAAGTCGCGCAAACGCTTCTCTTTCGTTCTTTAAAGTGTTTCTTAAACGAAAGCATGGTGAACCGTGACTTCGTAACCGAGTACAGTTCATTGCCTTATGTAAAACTTGAAATGGCTTTTCTTCCTTGAGTGACCGAATTAAATAGTGACTTATGTGTTTCATGTGATCTCTATTGGTTTGTGAAGCGGTCTAAGTGTTACAATGGCTAATTCAACGGCTCAAGTGTTAATGAAGAAGGGTAAAAGGGGGGCAGCCGCTTACATACATGCGGACTGCTCCAGCGGATCACCACAGCACTTGGGGCCACTTCTAGACGTTCTGCTGAACCCTAGCAAGGCTATAGACGAGTGGGAGACCATTGACTGGTGTCGGTGGCTGCTGGCTGGAGGTAGAACACCAGATGAATTCGCTGCAGTCGGTTAGTATTTGTAGTATAACTGTACCTTTGTGTTTGTAGGTTATGCTCGCTTACACCTATTGTTACTGTTAAACAAATAGACGTTTATAACTTTTATTTAACATATTTATTTCTAAGGTTAATTGCTTCAACTACATCATTGTTTTACCTAGAAATAATTCAAAAACAACATAGATAATATCAAGCTGTCATTGTGAAGCAATCAAGTCTAATCAGAAGATTGTACATAAATGGACCCTTTTTGGTATATGGATTAGTGTTATGGGGTCGAAGTATGAAATTAAACATCAAATACATTTATTTAAACAAAAGGTATTCTCTTCTAATATCAACTGCTGACATCTTGGAGATCATTAATACCCTTGACAGTTCTGTCATTGAACTACAAAGTATAAAGGCATTTTTTACTTCTACCTGAGACCAAGAAAATTGTCCAGATTATAATTGGTGGGTGTTAGGTTTGAGAATTAATTTAAAAACAAATAAAAGGCAAACTATACATAATTTTTTTTGTGTTCAGAATGTTGTTACTACACTTTTCTTTGTGGATTATAAGCCATTCAATACTGAGTGTAGTTTCTTCCATGTATCTCTTACATTCTTGGGCTATAAAATCCAGTATATTCAGTTTATATTCAGTTCTTACTNGTTAAACAAATAGACGTTTATAACTTTTATTTAACATATTTATTTCTAAGGTTAATTGCTTCAACTACATCATTGTTTTACCTAGAAATAATTCAAAAACAACATAGATAATATCAAGCTGTCATTGTGAAGCAATCAAGTCTAATCAGAAGATTGTACATAAATGGACCCTTTTTGGTATATGGATTAGTGTTATGGGTCAAAGTATGAAATTAAACATCAAATACATTTATTTAAACAAAAAATTCTCTTCTAATATCAACTTCTGACATCTTGGAGACCATTAATACCCTTGACAATTCTGTCATTGAACTACAAAGTATAAAGGCATTTTTTACTTCTACCTGAGACCAAGAAAATTGTCCAGATTATAATTAGTGGGTGTTAGGTTTGAGAATTAATTTAAAAACAAATAAAAGGCAAACTATACAATGTCATAATTTTTTTGTGTTCAGAATGTTGTTACTACACTTTTCTTTGTGGATTATAAGCCATTCAATACTGAGTGTAGTTTCTTCCATGTATCTCTTACATTCTTGGGCTATAAAATCCAGTATATTCAGTTTATATTCAGTTCTTACTAACATCACTGACCAAATCAATGCACTTAATTCATAGCCTTTCGTATATTTCTATGTCCAGTTTGAAGTAACCATTTAAGGCCTCTTTTGCCCCACCTAAGGTTATTTGTGTAACAAATGTGGCCTGATTTCCATAACACTGTCAATTCTGTTTCACAGGAAAATTAATAGTATAGCTTGGTTCATGACTATTTGTCTGATTTGTATTGTGTATGTGTGTTAACGGCCGTCTGGTGTAGTGGTAAGTGACATGGTCACTACACAAGGGGGTCGCGGGTTCGAATCCCGCCAAGGGAAGATATTTGTATGATAAATATAAATGTCTTTTCCAGGGTTATGGATGTATATTAAGTATATGTATGTGTATAATAAAAATCTTACATTTATTTCCGTTATCTGGTACCTGTAACACAAGTTCTTTACGAACTTATCACGGGACCAGTTAACGTGGCGTGATTGTTAGTAAATATTTATTTATTTATTATTTATTTACTTTATAGGGTTGACAATGAGCATAGTGAGTTAGCATCATCTTATTTTTTTCCATATTAAATTCATATTTCTTTGCAAAATATACATAATCACAAATACATATGACCTCTTTTCTTAAAAACAGCCTAAACTTTTTAAATTTACACTGTGCTTTGTCTTCTTCTGAATTCTTGATTTTTGCCAGACTGCTGAAAAAGGTTTAATAGAGAAAGAGTTAATCATTGTACTTGGTAATTTAAAGATAACTTTGCTAAAAATATGATCGGCATTTTGCAAGGTACTGATTTCTTATATTTATATTCAAATATATATTTTTTTAAATAAAATTATCCAATGAGACGAAAAACTTGACTGTATTTAAAATATTAACTAAGAAGTGAAAACCAAGTTTAAAATATTTCTCTAATATTAAAATAACTTGAATATTACTAAAGTGTTGTAGGTGGGGGCAGTTGTAGCAAATAAAAAAAAAACTTTGAATTTAAATGTCCCTTCTGTAAAACATTGTAAGCCAAAAACTAAACAATANCCGTCTGGTGTAGTGGTAAGTGACATGGTCACTACACAAGGGGGTCGCGGGTTCGAATCCCGCCAAGGGAAGATATTTGTATGATAAATATAAATGTCTTTTCCAGGGTTATGGATGTATATTAAGTATATGTATGTGTATAATAAAAATCTTACATTTATTTCCGTTATCTGGTACCTGTAACACAAGTTCTTTACGAACTTATCACGGGACCAGTTAACGTGGCGTGATTGTTAGTAAATATTTATTTATTTATTATTTATTTACTTTATAGGGTTGACAATGAGCATAGTGAGTTAGCATCATCTTATTTTTTTCCATATTAAATTCATATTTCTTTGCAAAATATACATAATCACAAATACATATGACCTCTTTTCTTAAAAACAGCCTAAACTTTTTAAATTTACACTGTGCTTTGTCTTCTTCTGAATTCTTGATTTTTGCCAGACTGCTGAAAAAGGTTTAATAGAGAAAGAGTTAATCATTGTACTTGGTAATTTAAAGATAACTTTGCTAAAAATATGATCGGCATTTTGCAAGGTACTGATTTCTTATATTTATATTCAAATATATATTTTTTTAAATAAAATTATCCAATGAGACGAAAAACTTGACTGTATTTAAAATATTAACTAAGAAGTGAAAACCAAGTTTAAAATATTTCTCTAATATTAAAATAACTTGAATATTACTAAAGTGTTGTAGGTGGGGGCAGTTGTAGCAAATAAAAAAAAAACTTTGAATTTAAATGTCCCTTCTGTAAAACATTGTAAGCCAAAAACTAAACAATAAGCACCTAAAGATGCATAGAATAGTATTGCACTACCTTATCTCATATGCCTTAGAAGCATAGAGAAAACTGTTATACAACTGCCTGTTTCTAAGCCTTAACGGGGAGCTAAAATTGTCCTCCCTATTTCTGCTGCATAGGAGTCTTATGCTCTGGTTTGAGAGGTAGGTCAGTCATTATACAATACAATTGTGATTTGTCCTCATGTCTCTGGTTTGCGGCATTCACATGCTGATCTCTTTTGACTCAGGTAACCATATTAAAAAAGTTGAATTTGTTTGTTCTACACATTAAGAAAATAAGTTAAAATTAATTTAATCTAAAGTGATTGCCTGCTTTGTTCTCAGTCAAAAGAACTTAGTGCCAGTAAGTAATGGTGACATCTATGAAAAAGCCCTTTTTTTGCTAAGACTTAATTTTGCTTTGAATTACAGACTAGCTCAGCTAACGTTAGGCCAACTCAATTTCTTTGACAATCTAGGAAAACTTTGATATTATTAAACTTTTTATATTGACTGTATAATTAGCATTAAAAAAAATAAAAAATTAATGGCTTTTGCTTTTATCATGTTTCAATGATTGATATTATTATGCACTTTTTGCTGTACACGTTTCAGCATTTTGCCACTCTAAGTTGGCACAAATGGTACCTTCCTAATTACATTACTAGTCACTATATCAATACATAGCCAATAATAGGCAGCGGCTTGGCTCTGCTCCTGGCATTGCTGAAGTCCATGGGCGACGGTTACCACTTACCATCAGGTGGGCCGTACGCTCGTCTGCCTACAAAGGCAATAAAAAAATAATAAAAAAAACATTATATTCAAGCTATGTCTCATTCATTCGGGAACTGTTTAAAACGGAGACCCCAGAAATAAAAAAAATGTGATAGTTGTAAATGTTGTTGTAAATGTGTATGGTTGGTATGACCTGCAATATCAAATAATTACTGATTTTTATCAAAACAAACAAACAAAAATACATTTTTTTCAAAATCAAAAAGTTTCCTTTGTGAAATTATGATGTGTGAGTAATTGTGTGAGTAAATGTGAGTATTTGAGTGAGTAATCTCCTTTTTTTCTTTATTTATTTGTATGTATCTATTTAATTTTGATAACTATAAAACTGTTAAACTAGGGATTTCAATAAAATTATTATGCATCAAACCTTGTAATCAAGTAATTTTAATATGACATCATTACACAGTTGTGTAAATCTATATAGTAGCAACATAAGTGTTATTACAAAAAAATAACAAAGTACTCTGTTAATAATTATATTGTATGCACTTCTAAAAACAAAATACTTTTTATTTTACAAGTATTTTTTTTCGCATGATATGTCAGAAACTCATTATCTTTATATATATATTTCTTCTGTGTGTGTGTGTGTTTGTCACTGAACTCCTAAAGGGCTGGACAGATTTGAATGTTTTTTTTGTATCTGTTTGGGTGACACCCTGGATGGTTAACTTAACAAATCAGCCCTGCAGATAGCGCTGCAGTCGGTATCTAGGTTATTTATCTTTCCTAGCAATAATTTATATGGCAAAACAATGTTTGCCGGCCCAGCTAGTAAATATTTATTTTTCGGGTATGTTCTTCATTGTAGGGCATAAAATTACATATAGTCGCCATCATTCGGATTATCATTTGGGATCCTCCAGATCTACTCTCGGTGCTTTTAGACATTTCTAGCACCAGTCACCGTTCTCGTTGAACCCGTCGAATGCGACGAAGGTTTCGATGTGCAACTTAACCCACTGAGTTTCTCCGCAGACTTTCTCAGTGGGTCTTTATTCCGATCCGTTGGTAGATTTAGCGAAGTAAGTATTATTCTCGCTAAGACTAGTGTAACTGTTAGGATATTAAGCCCTAGAGGTTACTAGCAGTAAATAGGCAAAAATAGTAGGTCATACCGCGCGCAGTGGTCCTATCATTTTCTTACCCATTTT